CAAATTAATAAAAATCAAAAAGGAGCTCTTATAAACTACAGGAGGACACTGCAGAAGTGTGAGAGCAGGAGGAAGAAGTTCGGACGACACCAGGTCAAAGTTCAACAGAACCGAGTCAAAGACCGAGGACTGGAGGACCTCCGCACAGTCTCACCTGCACCACCAGGAGGCGACAGAAGCACCTCAGCACAGCAGCATCTGCACCACCAGAAGGCGGCAAAAATTACGACCACAGCACAGTCAACACCTGCACCACCAGGGGGCAACAGAAGGACCTCAGAACAGTCAGCATCTGCACATCAGGGGCGACAGCATGAGGGGTCCGAGAGGAACTTCTCCAACGTGAGAGCAGACGAATCAATGGTGGTTTGTTTCTTGAAAGATACAGATGTACAGTGCAGTTAATAACACAACATTGAATGAGACCAGAGAAGAGACCAATGACCCGGAGAGAGAGCAAAGATGAGAGAGACAGAGGCAGACCAGCTGGTGAAGCACACAGAAATATTGTTATTGTTAGTATCAGTAAAAGGATCACATTCAAGAAAAACCAAAACTTCACCCAAACTATATCCATCAATTCAGAGACCATTACAAGAAAACGGAGAAGAGTAACTGTGTCCATCTCATAGTACAGTAACAATCAAATCCAATTTAGAAACTATATTTCACTAGCCTCAAACCTGGACTACAGACCCTTTCGTCCCTTTCGGACAGATCCGACCCTCCCCAATGTGGGCCTCCAAGTGAGACTCCATTGAGACTCCTGTGTTTGAACTGTTTGAATTCGCCAATTTTGTGTTGGTGAATTGACATCTTTTGTTAATTCCTCAAAGATATAGTACTGTTTCTCAGGGACGTGCAGTCAGGGGAGGCAGGGAGGCAGAGCCAGACTCTATTTAATGTATGTTACTCAGCAGCAGAAGGCCAGTCCCTGTGCTCTTGAAACTCCCAGCAGAAGGCCAGTCCCTGTGCTCTTGAGACTCCCAGCAGAAGGCCAGTCCCGTGCTCTTGAGACTCCCAGCAGAAGGCCAGTCCCTGTGCTCTTGAGACTCCCAGCAGAAGGCCAGTCCCTGTGCTCTTGAAACTCCCAGCAGAAGGCCAGTCCCTGTGCTCAGCTCTTCATGTATATTTCTTGACTGATGCACTCTGGGGACTTTTGCACATGCATTAAAATGTGGTTTTATTGTAAATAGCAAATACACTGATTTGTTTGGCACATTTTAGCTTGATTAGTAGTTTGAATTGAATTGTATGTGCAAACTGACTTTAAACATCCAGGCATTGACATGTTCTTGTATAGTGCCTCACGAAACAAGAAACAAGATCACAAAGCAATGAAACATCTAAATTACTTAATAATTCAAAGAAGGCCGGACAGTCTTTCAGCAGCTTTATGCTTCTGCTGCTGCTGCTGATGGTGATCTATATGAACTTCCAGATAGTAACCACTAGATGGAGCCAGACGCCAGTGCCTTGAAATGACCGCATTATTGAAATGGTCAGAAAAGCTCTGGAATCATCTGCACAACTTTAGAAGCAGAATCTGGCAACTGGGAGGATTCATTGACAGTTTTATCAGCCTACACTAAAATATAACAATAACATTATCAGGATATTATCTTTAAATACACATCTAAATTCACCTTCACTAAGAAGCTAAAGTCGGGTATCTATGTGGTACTAATGTCATATGTCAGCTACTCCAGTATCTACATCCTTAGGTTATTGGAGTCACTGTCTCTCCTCTCTGCTTGACACGAGGTGAGACGGGAGGCGCAGGGCTGGATGGAGGCTCAGGAAAATCTAATTACATCCGTTTGGACTCTGTGACCGTGCTCTTTGTCCCGGGCCAAAGATGACGCTTCCTCCACAGACACAGCACAGGTGCGACTCTATCTTCTCTTCTAGCATTTACATTTGGATTTATTTGACAAGCAGACACACTAACAGAGCAACAAACACCCACACTTCAATAATATTAACTTCAACTATTGCCTGCTCAGCCATACTCATAGACCTCTACTCATTCTCTTTGTCAAATGACTTTTATACATATTTTTCTGTCTATTCTAACACATCCTCTCGTTAATATCAAACCTATTCTTGCCGTTTGCTTGTGAGAAGGTCCCATGTGAGTCAATTTGAGCGAGTAAATCTCTGAGAATTAGCAGTAATCTGGGCCACACCTGCCGCCTTCTCTAGCACCAGTCTCTGTGCTTATCCCGAGTGCGTGCAGAGAACCCTGGGATAAGCACCGCCATCAAAGGCTGTCAACAAAAAGTCACAAGGTAAAACTCAAGGAAAAAAGTCTGATTTGTCACTGATTATAACAGAAGGGAGCACATTACCCCTGTGCTAGTGTCCCTCCACTGGGTCTCTGTGCGTTGTAGGATTGATTTTAAGATTTTACTGATCTCTTTTAGAGCTTGTTTAGGTCCGACTATGGAACAGCCTTTAACTGCTGTATTGTACTGTTCCACTTTGTCCTTGTCTTGTCTTTTTTGTTGTCTGTCTGCTTTAGTCTGCTGTTTGACTGTTTTATCGACTGTTTTGACTGCTTTATGCTGACTGTGCTCTTTGTAAACACTGTTATAAAAAAACTGCAATCAAAATAAAGATTGAATTAGTATTAGTATTATTCAGAGTTGAATAGTTATTTTATTTGCCAGATTTCAGATTGAGATCACAGAACAGAAATACAAAATGTTTAGTGAGTAAAGAACATATGAAATTGTTTTGGATTTTAGTCCTCAGCCTTTTGTTATTGATGAGTCTGGGTTTAACTCTGTCTAACGACCTGGAGAGGGACAAAAACGCATGTCTTCTTTCTGTGGAAACTTAGAGAATTTACCACAAACTCTAAGATTCTGCTTCACTTTTATTGCTGCATAATTGAAAGTTTGTTTGTTGGTTCTGTGACTGTGGTTTGGTAACATCACAGACAAAGAAAGGAGACCAGAGAGAGACCAGAGAGAGACCAGTGAGAGAAACCAGAGAGAGACCAGAGAGACCAGACAGAGACCAGACAGAGACCAGAGAGAGACAAGAGAGAGACCAGAGAGAGACCAGGGAGACCAGGGAGACCAGACAGAGACCAGAGAGAGACCAGAGAGAGACCAGTGAGAGACCAGAGAGAGACCAGTGAGAGACCAGAGAGAGACCAGAGAGAGACCAGACAGAGACCAGACAGAGACCAGAGAGAGACCAGGGAGACCAGAGAGAGACCAGAGAGAGACCAGAGAGAGACCAGAGAGAGGAACCGCTCTGAAAGAGGACTGTAATCTGTCTGTTCTGGAGGTTCTTTATTAATCTATTTTCTATTCTATTTATTTATTTGTTCCTTTCATGAAAATGCTTTGTTCACATGTTCACATAATAATAATTACATTCATAATTTCAACATTTACATTACAAATCATATCAACCCTGGGCTTTCACATGGTACCAGTTTCACCAACAAAACATTTTTAAACAAAAAACATTCACATATGTTTTGATGCAAATGCATTTTCAACAAATTTGCATTTAAACAAATACATCCAATTACTCAAGAGCTTCATATAGTAAGTAAGTAAGTAAGTAAGCTTTATTTATATACCGCCTTTCACAGACCAGAGTCACAAAGCGGTTTACAATTGTTATTTTTTGGGCACTTGTCCTCTCACTCCACACAGAGATGGGAGCGGGGTCGCCGAACAGGAGGCGCATGCCAGACCTATTGGACATATTTTTAGTGGTAGGGGAAACCGGAGTACCCGGAGGAAACCTACGCAGACACGGGGAGAACATGCAAACTCCACTCAGAAAGGCCCTGGTCCGGCCGGGATTCGAACCCAGGACCTTCTTGCTGAGAGGCGAGAGTGCTATCCACTCAGCCACCGTGGCGCCCATTGGATGGCATATGATTCAATCATTTTTACTATATACAACTTTTTAAATTGAGAGATATTTTGACAACGTTTTGATTCATTTTCCTGAGCATTCAACAGTTTGACACCTTTGACCGATAAACACATTTGTTTTAATGTTGTTCGTGCAAACTGGTGTTTAAAGTCAAACCTTCTCCTGGAGTTTTCATTTTCTGACGTAACAGTAAACAGTGATTGTATATTTTCATGTAGTGCTGCATTTCTAGCTTTAAACATGACTAATAATGTCTGTAATTCTATTATATTTTTAAATTTCAACAATTTGGACCTAATGAATAGTGAGTTTGTATGTTCTCGAAATGCAGCTCTGTGTATCATACGGACAGCTCTTTTCTGTAGTAAGGATAACGATTTTATACTGCTTTCATAAGTGTTACCCCACACTTCTACACAGTAAGTAAAATAAGGCAAAATCATAGAACAATATAACATTCGCAATATGTGGACGGGTAACATGTATTTAGATTTGTTCATAATAAATACGCTTTTCGATACTTTATTTTTCACGTACATTATATGTGGTTTCATAATCCAGTAATCCAGACTCAATAAAATAAATCCAGCTCTTAGAATAATCACTAACTCTTCTGGCCTCTGGGAAAAAGCCATGTTCCAGCTTCTTCCCTCTGGTGGAAGATATCGTTGGCTGCAGGACATCTGGATATGCTAACATCTTCTTTCATCTGTTTTCAGTCTGAACAAAGCACTTTAATGATCTTGCACTTGTATTGATGCTGTTGACAATGTATTCCACTGTGGTTTTGCTGCAAATGTCAAACAAATAATCAGAATCTAAATCCAATCTTTTGTATTCTTTTTATTGGATGATTCTTGATGATACTTATTTGGCTTCCGGATGCGTTAGCTTTGTACTGTACTTATTTGTTTCTATGTTTTTATGTCTTATGCTGCTCAAATAAAGTAGTCTGAATCTGAATTTACGCCTGTTTTTTCGCAGCTCTTGATGAGGCTTCTTCTTTGATGCCCTGGGTCCAGCGTGGTGATTGACAGCTGACCTCTGGAGTTACCATGGTGTGAGCCTCCACTGTCCAGGAACGCTGGGATGTTATGGGGGTCTGGAGTCTCTGCGGCTACATGGAGCTGAAGATGGTGTAAGAAGCAGGATCAGGTAAGACTGTGGATTACAAAGGTCACAATGGTCTTGAAAACACAGGTGGACCATCCTCATTTCCCTTATCTCCAGGACCTACTGTGCCCCTAAACTAGTCAGACTAGTTTTGATGCGGTTAACGTGTCATTCCATTTGGCAAAACATTCTGAAAAAAGAAAATCTGTATTGTAGTCTCTGTGTCTGTGTCTCTGCAGGAGCTGGCCTCAGACTGATGTTTCCCTCTGTGCTGAGTGAGAGAGCAGAGCCGAGGTGGATCCCCAGTGGACCCAGCAGTACCCCGGGCTGCCCCCCGCCTACGGGAGCGAGCGGCTGCAGACTTCCAACTACTCCGTGGTGCTCTTCATCCAGATGAGCCTCCTCTGCTTCGACCTGTTCGTCAACTCCTGCAGCGAGCTGATCCGAGACGAGCCAGCCAACCAGCTCATGCTCTTTGTGTAAGAATCCTGAGCCGGGGGCGGTCCCAGCTCTGAGCCCTGTGCCCCATGTTTTAGACAGTTTTCAATTCAATTCATTTTAATTTTGTAGAGCCCTAAATCACAACAGTAGTGATCTCAGAGGACTTTACAAAACTGTTGAATTCACCAACACAGATCAGAGAATCAAACAGTTTGAACACAAGAAATGCACTGATAAAAAAGACACAGAGTCATTAGTCCATAAAAGACAGATACCAATGTCCATAAATGTTGATAATTGTGGAGTGTCCTCAGATCCTCCTGTATCAGAGGAACAACTCTAAAAACCCAGTGGGAAAAAGTGAGAAACCTCAGGGAGAACCACATTGACGGAGGGATCTGCCCCACAGACACACTGAGGCTGTAGACCCCGGACTGAGGCTGTAGACCCCGGACTGAGGCTGTAGACCCAGGACTGAGGCTGTAGACCCAGGACTGAAGCTGTAGACCCAGGACTGAGGCTGTAGACCCGGGACTGAGGCTGTAGACCCAGGACTGAAGCTGTAGACCCCGGACTGAGGCTGTAGACCCAGGACTGAGACTGTAGACCCCGGACTGAGGCTGTAGACCCAGGACTGAGGCTGTAGACCCGGGACTGAGGCTGTAGACCCAGGACTGAAGCTGTAGACCCAGGACTGAGGCTGTAGACCCCGGACTGAGGCTGTAGACCCAGGACTGAGGCTGTAGACCCGGGACTGAGGCTGTAGACCCAGGACTGAGGCTGTAGACCCGGGACTGAGGCTGTAGACCCAGGACTGAAGCTGTAGACCCAGGACTGAGGCTGTAGACCCCGGACTGAGGCTGTAGACCCAGGACTGAGGCTGTAGACCCAGGACTGAGGCTGTAGACCCCGGACTGAGGCTGTAGACCCAGGACTGAGGCTGTAGACCCAGGACTGAGGCTGTAGACCCAGGACTGAGGCTGTAGATCCAGGACTGAGGCTGTAGACCCAGGACTGAGGCTGTAGATCCAGGACTGAGGCTGTAGATCCAGGACTGAGGCTGTAGACCCAGGACTGAGGCTGTAGACCCAGGACTGAGGCTGTAGACCCAGGACTTAGGCTGTAGACCCAGGACTGAGGCTGTAGATCCAAGACTGAGGCTGTAGACCCAGGACTGAGGCTGTAGACCCAGGACTGAGGCTGTAGACCCAGGACTGAGGCTGTAGACCCAGGACTAACCGTGTCCATGGTTATTTTACACATGTCTGAGACACATGTTGTTGAGGAAGGAGCAGAAATCTTTGCTTTAGCGAGGACAAAGATTTCCTTCAGAAATCTAAAATAAGGAGGACCCAAAATGCAGGACTACGCCTGGATTGTAAAAAGGATTCAATTAAGATAAAAAAGATCCACAAATAAAACATAAAATCCAGACCATAACAAACAGAAGTGTTGTTGCAGTAATAATCTTTCTCGATCCATGTCTATGTCCTTTTATCAAATCTTTACCTTTCAACACTTCAAGCTCAGATCAGTTCCAGGTAGGGCTGGGCGATAAATCAATTTTAATTATTAACTTGAATTAGACGTTTAGGGGGATTTATTTTGTGTTTAAAAGCTATTGCTACCAAAGGCACTACAAACTTGTTTCAGCATCTTAAACAGAAACATGCAGCCGAGTGGGAGGCGTGTGCCTCTCAACGACGCGAACAAGACCGCACTTCTGACAAACCCGAAAAAAAACAAACTACAGTCTTGGAAAGTTTGTCGAACTGTATCCCCTATGACAAGAAAGGACCCCGGTGGAAAGCAATCACAGATGCAGTGACGAAATATATTGCAGGAGGTATGGTACCCATATACACTGTGGAAAAGCCGTGGTTTATCAGCATGCTAAAAGTTGTCGACCCCAGATACGTGCTACCAAGCCGCAAATATTTTTCCGAAGTTGCCTTGCCTTGCCTGTACAACAGTACTCGTGAAAAGATTACTAGAGAGCTGGAGGGGGTGTCGTTTTACTCCGCCACAACGGATCTGTGGTCCAGTCGAACAATGCAGCCCTATATGAGTTTGACGGTGCATTTTATTGACAACTGGACTTTGCGAAGCATCTGCCTTCAAACAGCCTACTTTCCCGAGGACCATAAAGGTGAAGCAATTGCGCACGGGCTAAAAGATGCACTGAGCTCCTGGAACCTTGATGAAAAACGACTCGCCGGTATGACAACAGACAGCGGCACCGACATGATAAAAGTTCTGAGAGTCAACGAGTGGCCCAACCTCCAATGCTTTGGACATAAGCTGCACAATGCTATAGAGAAGAGTCTAATGGCTTTGCATTCAAGTGATTTTTTTTTTTTTACACACACATGTTGAACAGCTCAATTAATGCATTTTTAAATTAACCTGATGCATGAATTATTCAACATTTTACTCAAAGACATGTACAGTTATGATTTTGTATAATTTCAATATTATCAATTATTTTATTTATTTTATGAAAATATGGATTAAAAGACATTTCTCATAGCTGCATATTATACAATTCTTTAAGATTTTCCTGCATAATTTTCTTTTCCTGTTTTTCCAGTCTTGATGTATAAAAATATTTTATATTATATTTATCTACCTTTCAGTAAATATCAGTATATTTGATGACTCATTAATGTCCAGTGAAGTGGCTAATTTACCTTCCTGACCCATGCTTATACTGGAAAACAGTGTTAAGATAGTTGGTGTCTATGCAAGGTTTAATGCAATATTAAGAAAACCCTAAAAATGTACATGCATGATTAATCATTAATGGTGTGTGTGCGTGTGTGGGTACGCCTTTAGTGTGCATTAAGAACGTGGAAAACTTGTTTTGTCACTGACCAATAGTTACACTAAATATGGTCTTTGTGTTTTCTTTCTTTTTTTTATTATTTAGAGTTAAAAGTTTTGTTTGCACTTTATGAATGTTATGGATACCACTGTTAAAAGTATGTATTTTTGTATTATATCAAATGTTTCCATTTTTGTTACATTTATTTGACCAAATGTGTTTTATCAAAAAGTGACACACAATATAATTAGATTTATATTTTAAGTTATTTAGAAGGTGCATGTCACTATAAGTTACATGTAACTGGGCATGCTTCAAGCCAGAGGTAGTAGACAGGCTCGTCTTCCTGACTAAAATGCATAAAAAAAGAATGTTGAAAGTAATGGAGGCAGATTTTTCCTTTTGTTTACAATTTCAGGGATTCAGGAAAACTGTTTAAAGTTTTGTTTGCACTTTATAGATACAACTGCTGTATGTATTTTTGTAATCTAATTTGGTCATTTTTGCTACGTTTATTTGACCAAAAAGGACTATTATTATTATTTTGAAGGTGCCTTGTCACTAAGTTAAGTTAAAATCAGAACAAAATAAAGAGTACATTTGTTTTGAGCCATTTCTTTGTAAGTTGTTTTTTGTTTTTAAACAGAAAAAAAAAAAATCGATTTCTGATCTGTGTCAGCGAATCGACAGCTTTGTAAAGTCCTCCGAGATACTGGAGATACTGGACCTAGAGTCTGTAACAAAGTTGAATTGATTCTGATGTGATTTAAGACAATACAAACATTAACTGAATTGAAATGAATACTGTGGTACGTTACTGGCATTCCCTTGCACGAGTATTCCAATGTGGTTTTACTGCAAACGTAAATGGATCTGAATGTGGAGTTTTGTGTTTTTCCAGAATGCAGGACGTCTCCATCCTGCTGAACCTGATCATCATCCTGCTCATGCTGTTCAACACCTACGTCTTCCAGGTGGGACTGGTGTCGGTGCTGGTGTCCCGGTTCCAGCCGCTGCTCCTGTCCTCCGGCCTGTACCTGAGCTTCAGTATCACGCTGCACTGCTGGCTCATGGTGCGGACTCCTCACTCTCTCTGCTTCTGCTTCTGGTTCTGGTTCTACAGACGTGAGACGATCTTTAATCTCCGGTGTTTGTGCTGCTTTCTCCAGAATCTGCGCTGGTTTAACACAAACAAGTACGTTTGGACGGACGGACTGCAGGTTCTGTTCATGCTGCACAGGACGGGTGAGGCCAGCGAAGCTTTACAACATTAAAGGGACAGGTTTTTTACTCTGGTCTTGGACTGGTCCTGGTTCAGAGCGCACTCAGCTCTGTCCTCTGAGATAACTACAGTTGTGTGAGGGTGAAACAAAAATACATGTAATTGAATTTAACTCCACACGATCAGACCAATCACAGGCTGTAATTTTCATCCTGTCCATAAGTGTTAACAAATCATCACCTCTGTCCTTACAGCAGCTGTCCAACCTTTTTCATCCAGAGACCTACTTTCCCCTGGAAGATTGATTAAGCGAAATAAATAAACAACACAAGTTGACAGCCAAAAAATGGTCAGGGGTTTCTAAACTGATTCAGACTAATGTTGGTGTTCTGAGTCTGAATATCACATGCATGTTGCTCTATCAGGTCAACTTTGTGAGATACAGCCATAGTGTTACGGATTATGTCTACGTTATTATGAATTCTGCTTATCAAATTTGATGGAGTAAATAAAAACTGAATGACTTTGGATACGTTGACTTTTATTCCTTGAGGAAAACGGAAAAAAAAGTCAAGGGTTTCTCAGATGATGATCCGCAGAAATTAGTTTTTTACGCAAAATTGATTTAAAAAAATATTTCTGTAGCAAAAATCCTGACCTGATTGAGCAAAACCAAGGTCATTTTCGGACTCAGCATCAACATTAGTCTAATTCAGCTGAAAACCCTGGACTATTTTCAAAAAATATTTTTTTGTTACCCAGTGCAATTGATGTCCAAAATAGGAGTGGGAAGAAGTTAAAAATAAACGTGTGTAATCCCACCCCTCCCTACAACAGGGTGTGAACGAGCCTGATATTGGGTACAGTCATTATTTATCATCACATTTTTGTTATGACAAAGTAAGTGCATTTACAATAATATGTTTTTTTTTACTTTTAAAGGGGCAGTGTATTATAAACATTAGCCAAAAGCAGAAATGCTTTGTACCAGGTTGTAGCAGCTGGGCTAATTCACAATGAGAATGAATAATACAATCTAAAATATGAAGTATCTCATTAGATTTTTTAATTTCTAAATGCTTTGGTGAGCTACCTGGAAGGGGGTGGAGAGCTACAGGTTAGAGAGCCCTGCCCTAGAGCCTCCTGCATCATTAAGGAACCACAATGCAGTAAATGGTGTGTCTTTGGCCTGACGCTGAGGTTCATCTCAGCGTCAGGCACCAGTCCGGCACCAGTTTGTTGACGGACTTCCTACGCCATGTTGTTCAGTGCTCCCCGAGGGGGGCGTGACTGTTTACATCTGAGGCTTCTCGGCCCCCACCACCCCCCTCCTCCTCCTTACCAGCACCGGGTGAGTACTGTGGTGCAAACACTGACCCCTGTCCGTCTGGCAGTGTAACGACAGTCCTGCCGCTGAACTGTGCTGACTCAGTTATGCATCTGGAACTTAACAAAGTACAACAGAGTTCACTTTTTAAACCAATAGAGACTGTGTGTGTTCCTCGCACCAGCTCAGAAATGTGTTTTAACCTGAATAAACACAAATTTAAAAGAAGGACAGCAGTTAGACGGTCCAACTCTGGAAATCTAATTCCAGTTCTTTGTAATCAATCAACTAAACCCACTGACACTGATATTAATTTTAACCTTGCTCTACTTAATGTCAGATCACTGTGCAACAAATCATTTTTAATTAATAATTTTATCTGTTCGTATGATCTTGATTTTATGTTTATGACTGAAACATGGCTTGACCATAATACAGGAGATACAGTTTTAATAGAAGCCTCACCACCAAATTTCAAATTTGAATATGAAACACGAGAAAATAAAATGGGGGGGGCATAGCAGCAGTTTTTAAAGATCGTATTGTCTCCCATAGAGTGTCTCTTGGGAAATTTTCATCATTTGAGTATGTTTCTTTTAAAATAGAACAAAAGAAATCTTCTTCCATTCTTATTATTGTTGTGTACAAGCCGCCACAGTCATGCCATAGTTTCACTGATCATTTCACTAAGTTGCTTTCAGTTGTGTGCACAGATTTTGATGGTTTAGTCATTATAGGCGATTTTAATATTCATGTGGATAATGTTAATGACAGATACGCAAAAGAGCTGAGTTCCATACTTGAATCCTTTGGCCTCACTCAGCATGTGAGTGGCCCCACCCATAGCAGAGGACACACCCTGGACCTGCTTATCACGAAAGGGGTGAATATTTCAAAAGTTAATGTAGTTGATGTTGCTCTGTCGGATCATTTCTGTGTATTTTTTAACATGTGTTTTGCTACCAGACCACCCGCTAAATATGAAATTGTTAGAAGTAGACACTTAAATGAAAACACGGGTGAACTATTTATGGGAATGATCCATTTTGAGAACACATCATGTTCTACTGTAGATGAACTGTTTAACTCTGTCACCTCTAGTGTGTTGAATGTTCTGGACGCCATTGCCCCTGTGAAGGTAAAAATGGTCACAAATAAGCAAAAAGCCCCATGGATAAAAGCAGGCCCGGTCAGGGCACAGAAGCAAGAGTGCCAGAGAGCAGAGAGAAAGTGGAGAAAGTCCAACCTTCAGGGTGATTATAAACTCTTAAAAGAGAAGTTGTGTGAGTTTAACAGAGTACTACGTAGAACAAGAGAATTATACTTTTCTGAAACTATTGAAGGCTGCAGCAACAATCTGCGTGTTCTATTTTCAACAATCAATAGATTAACGAACCCCCCTGTTGAGTTGCCATTAGAACACTACTCCAAATCCAGGTGTAATGAGTTTGCACAGTTCTTCAGAGACAAGGTTCAGGGTATCAGAAATACCATCACCTCTACAACACAAGTAACAATGCAACATCCAGTGAGGCTTTGTGAGCTAGCTCAATTTGCACCTGTCAATGATGAAACTGTTAAAAAGATAATCACAGGTCTTAGTTCCTCTACCTGCAGTCTGGATGTACTACCTCCTAGATTCCTGAAGTCTGTTATGTGTAGTCTATTACCCTCATTGACACAAATAGTAAACATGTCTTTTTTATCTGGAACATTTCCAATGGCCCTGAAAAAGGCAGTCATCAGGCCCCTCCTAAAAAAGAGCAGTTTGGATGCTGCGGTACTTGAAAATTACCGTCCCATCTCAAATCTGCCTTTCATGGGAAAAATTCTTGAAAAAGTTGCCTACCAACAACTTACTGAATTTTTAATATCTAATGACTCATTTGACATGTTTCAGTCTGGCTTTAGACCACACCACAGTACTGAGACCGCTCTAGTCAAGGTAACAAATGATATTCGGCTTAACACTGATGCAGGAAAAGTCTCTGTTTTAGTCATGTTAGATCTGAGTGCCGCTTTCGACACCGTTGACCATGAGATTCTCATGCAGAGACTGGAGGACTGGGTTGGTGTTGCTGGTACCGCCCTAAGCTGGTTTAGGTCCTATCTAGAAGAAAGGAAGTATTGTGTGGAGATTGGAGACTATGTCTCAGATAATATGGCCCTGACCTGCGGAGTGCCACAGGGGTCGATTCTGGGACCTCTCCTGTTCAATATTTACATGCTGCCATTAGGTCAGTTAATTCAAAGTATGAAAGTGTCCTACCACAATTACGCTGATGACACTCAGATCTATGTCTCACTGACTGCAGGAGAACATGGACCGGTGGACTCACTCCTTCGCTGTATCCAGCGGATCAGTGAGTGGATGCAATGCAATTTTCTCCAGCTAAATGCGGACAAAACCGAAATGATTGTCTTTGGTCCCGAGAAACAAAGAGAGACCGTCATTTGTCACCTTCAGTCTCTCTCCCTAAGGCCTTTAAATAAGGTCAGAAATCTGGGAGTAATAATGGACTCTGACTTAAACTTCAATAGCCACATTGGATCGGTAACATCAGCAGCTTTTTATCATCTGAAAAATATTGCCAAAATTAAAAATATTGTGTCCAGGGCAGACTTGGAGATTCTTATCCATTCTTTTGTTTCCAGTAGGCTGGATTACTGCAATGGCCTGCTCACAGGTATCTCCAAACATGCAGTAAAACAGCTGCAGTATATTCAAAATGCTGCAGCCCGAGTCCTGACTAGAACCAGGAAGTACGACCACATTAGTCCGGTCCTCAGGTCTCTGCACTGGCTTCCCGTGGCCCAGAGGATAGACTTTAAAGCAGCTCTCCTGGTGTACAAGTCTCTCCATGGCCTTGCACCAAAGTACATCCATGATATGCTAGTCCCATATGAACCAGCCCGGACTCTGAGGAGCGCAGGGACGGGACTCCTGTTAGTGCCCAGAGTCAGGACTAGACAGGGGGAGGCTGCTTTTCAGATTTATGCAGCTAAAGTCTGGAACAGTCTTCCTGAGGATGTGAGACTGGCTGCCTCTCTGTCAATGTTCAAATCCATGTTAAAGACTTTTCTTTTTTCCTGTGCATACAACTAGAGAATTTTATCGTTTTAACACACCTTGTTATTTATTGTTGTAACTTTTTGTGTTTTTAACTATTTTGTTTTTAATTACTTGTGTGATTCTTATGTTTTTAAATTACTTATGTGATTTTAATGCTTTTTAATTACATATGTGTTTTTAATTGTATTTTAATGGTGATGATTTGTGCATTGTGTGGTGTGGACTGTGAGGCGCTTTGTGTTGCCCTGTGCAGGAAAAGCGCCCTATAAATAAAGATTGATTGATTGATTGATTGATCTCCGGGACTCATCCATTCACATAATCTCATGACAGGATTAATGCTCTGATCCGTAATAAACAGAGTCGCCATGTTTACGTTTGGTCTGCTGCTGTTTGTTCTGTGCTCAGATACACGTCCTGGCATCAAACTTGCAACCACGCTACACGTCCCCCCGCCCCTTCTGTCCAAGAGTTTCTGTATCAAATGTATCAATCTTTAAAAAAACCTTCAAGTAGGTTCCTAATCTGTCATCATTAAAGGGCTCTAATCTGTCATCATTAAAGGGGCCTAATCTGTCATCATTAAAGGGGCCTAATCTGTCATCATTAAAGGGCCCTAATCTGTCAGCATTAAAGGGCCCTAATCTGTCATCATTAAAGGGCCCTAATCTGTCATAATAATAAACTGCTCTTTTCCAATACTTCTTTAACTGATAACAGTAGTTCAAAGATATTTCAATTTCAATTTGTTATTGTTTTCATTTCGATGTCCCGCCCTCCACCGTTTCACCAATCAGAAAGTCTGTGATCCGGGCGCCAGAACTCACCGCGTGGAGCTAATCTCACTGGTAAAGTACCATGTGGCGCAGAACTAAAAAAGGTCTCGTTATGATTCTCAAATCATTAACGACAAAACAAGGAATAAAACCAGGATTTCTATCTTTGTGAAAAAGGTGTTGGTTATAGATTTGTTGTTGACAAAAACATTGTTTATGGTTTATTAATTCAACGTCTTCTGAGAAAATATGAGAATAGTCTTTAAAAACATTAGCGTTTATATTCTGTCAGTGTGTTATTACAGCCTCATCATTACATATGCTCGTTATCCCGGGTCTGACACGTATTTATGTGTTTCTTTATGACACCAAAAAACACAATTGAAGTTACCCAGAGTGACTACAACAAAAAGTGATGAAAAATAAGGAAAATGCAAAACATTGGCAAACTGTATCTTAAACAGAGCCCATTCTGACTGCCTTAAAACTAGATTTACCGATGGGACAAAGCAATATTATCTTCTTTTAAAAAGATACAATAGAATCTTGTTTTAACACAGAATGTTCTCAATTTAAGATCAAAACAACTCCATTCAACTATGACCTCATATTTAATCATGTTTTGCAGTGCAGTGATGTTGACCCTGTCTCTCTCCGCAGCCTCTGTTCTCTACTATTACTTCTACAAGCGCACGGCGGAGTGTCTGGGCGACCCGCGGCTGTACGAGGACTCGCCCTGGCTCCAGGAGATCTTCTCCCAGGTGCGACAGCAGGGCCCCGCTTGGCAACACTAACTGCCCCGAAAACACACAACACCGGACTCTAACGAATGAATGGATGAAGAGTTATGGAAATGGGACTTTGGAAGAGCCTGTGCCAAATACTGTCTGGCACCGAAACTGAACTTTAACCACGGATCCATAGAATATACCACAAATAATACTGATTTCTTTTTGGTTCTTGTTACTCCATAAAGGCTGTTATGTAAAGATGAGTTTCCTGATGTACTTTTGATCTAAAGGCAGTGAGTGTGAAAATGTGTTAAATATAATATTGTAAACTTTTGTAACAATGTGAATACATGAATTACTATCAAATCCAATGTTGTCTTTTTTTTTTACCATTAATTGCACAAAGCCCCATAAAAAATATACTAATCTAAAAATATACTAATCTAAAACATCCTGACATTAGATTTTCTGCCAGTGTTGACAAAACAATATTACTTAGTACAGAATGTGTTGTCACTTTATACAAACAGTTTATTAACTTACTTTCAAACCACAGCCACAGGAGGACGTTACAAAACTGTCAATTCGCCAACCACAGATTAGAAAATCAAACGATGAGCATGGCGTGGGCACGAGTTCAAAGTCTCCTGTGTCTCTGCTCGTGGAGGTCTCTGTATTCTCTGCTGAGATCTTTGTCCTGGAGGTTGTTCTGCAACATCGAAGGCAGTTTATGTTAACTGTGCTAACCATATGCTAACCAGGCTAACCATGCTAACCGTGCTAACTGTGCTAACCGTGCTAACTGTGCTTACCAGGCTAACCGTGCTAACACTGCTATGACTCACCAGCTCTGCGTATTTATAAAACAGCTCTGCTTCTTGAAGACGGTCGGACTGAAAGACAGAACAGGGTTCACTGCTGTTGGAGATGTTGGTCCATTTTTACATTTTTCTTCTGAGAATCTTAGTTAGTTATTGTTTTTTTTGTCAATTTCTTTGATTATATTGCGTTTTTATTTGTTATTTCATTTCCTTTGGTCACTGGCTATGGCGGGAGAAGGCGTTTTGGGCATCTTTATTTAATTGTTATGGATTTGATTGAGAGGAATCATTTATTTTTGGAGGTGGTCCTTGTCATCCGTTCTCTTGGCCAAATGGTTATAAAACACAGGAACAGTTTGTTTTCTCTTCACTGCGTAAAGCCAACCTGAGAAAAGCAAATGAAAAGGCCACTTTCTGCCTAAGTTTAAGTTATGGACAAATCAGCATAACATCTGCAGAGCTCCCAGCCTGACATCTGACTACATTTATAACTGGGTATGACGGGGTTTTGGTCTAATGCAGTCTTTATTCTGGTGGCAGAATACCTGTTTAAATACAAATGATAGCTTTGCACCAATCAGAAAGCAGTTTCAGGCAAAATATGATTTCAATTTGGATGAGACAAAAACTACACCTCCCTCTGGTGGCAGCATAGGGGCAATGCAGGTTGACAACATTTTTAACCTTGATTTATCTAAAATGACGTGTGGAGCTCCACTTTGAAGCCCCTTGTGTCCCTTAGCCCCAGCCCTGGGTCAGAGCATCAGGGGAAAGTGCTCATATGTACAGATTCAGTTAAATAAACCCTGGGGGAGGAGCCTTGAGAGTGTAAATGACCAGGTGAAACAACTAAAACATGGGCTAAGTAAGGATTAAACAACGAGGAGCCGTGCATTATTCAGTTATAATGCACAAGTCTTATAAAATAGCGACAGCCCGTTTTATAACCCTAACCCCTTCTCATCTTCAATTCTATTCAGTTCCTCCAATGTACTCCTTGTATCGTTGCTTTTGTCGTTCTTCTTCTTGGTTCTCCTCTTCTTCCCATTCCCAAGGTTTTGTTATGTCCAAAAATGCGTGTCACCTGATTGACAGTTTATTTGATCCATCTGTTACAGTTACTATGGCAACAACTGTGGCGGAGGGATATAGAGCATGGTTTTAAACTTGCCGGAACTACGTATGCATATATATGACAATAATGCACGGCAGTTAGCGTTAGAACTCTCAGGTTTAGGCTACGTCCCCTTGAACAACAACAACTGCAGCTGGTGTGGTTCAGAACAGTCCACCTTAGCGTGTGAGGAGCCCACCTGGAGACAGACCAAGGCCAGGTAGAGCCAGACCAGGGCGTTCTGATGGTCCAGACGGTTGGCCTCCATCAGGGCAGCTTCAGCCGGAGCCAGCTCCCCCAACTACAAACACTCACACATTCAGTCACACGTCTCTGAGCGCTAAGAAAATCATGTTTGATTTTAGTTACAGAACGACAAAGTAAGAATGTGGCAGTAAAATAACTTCACTGGAAAATGATCTGAATACATCATCATCAAAGACAAAGCCAACGATCGAACAGATAACCAGACTCAAAGTACCACCTCAGGCAGGCTGTGGGTCTGCTCATTCATTACAATGGGAAATCTATTCATTGTAGTATTTTTACATCCAGAGCCAATGTCTGACACCGACACAGGCCATTTGAAAGAGATTTATTTTATTAAAATGTTTTACAAAATGGCCATTATAAAACCACCTCACAGCATGTTAGTCTGTGAATGTTTCAAATTGATTACTAAAATATTTGACTATTAAATAATCGTATAGTTATAGCACTAATCCACAACAGCAGTGGTCTGGCCAACAACAGATGAGAGAAGTTTGGTATTATTCACCACAGGAGCCATTGGTCCATAAGGTAAGCCAATAATCACAAACATGAAGCCGTGCATATAACAAAGATGGTGAAGCCCGTATTTACCCGGTAACAGGCGGCTCCCAGGCCCCTCCAGCTGAGGCAGGACGGGGCCTCCTCACACGTCTGCAGAAGAACCTGTTTGGCCGACGCAAACTGAGGAACAACACACTCCTGTTATCGTTACAGGAGTCATTATAAATATTATAAATGTATTACAGGAGTCTCTACAATGAATAGAATATGTTTATTAAGTTTATAGCACTCAATGAACAAAAAGATGGCTCATATTTCTACTTATATTATATACTATACTATACTCATATTACTACAACTATGAGGCTGTTAAATGGAACATTTCTAAATCCATAAATTAAATACTTTTGATTTGTGAGTTTACAATTTGTGAAAATACAAATTGGAAAGCTAATAAAGTAGTTCCTAATCTTTGATATATTATAATAAATGTATCATTATAAAATAGATAACCATAACTGAGCTGAATCTATAGTTCAGACTCTGTGGAGCAGTGATGTGAGACCAGGGGCCGTATTCCTAAAGATTCTAAGAGTCCTCTCAGAGAGCTCCTATCTTACCCTAAAAACTCCTAGCTAGGAGTCTTAGCTTAAAAGTTATTCCAGAACACTCTTAGAGAACTCTGAGCAAGGAATTGACAACAACTTTTATCTTAGTGAGGAGGCGTGGCCGACCCCGTTGCTAGGTATGAGTCATCATTTCAGACGCTGTGATTGGTTGATCTTAAAAGTTAGTAAAAACATATTTTTGATGATAATGGGCAAAATAAGGGCCCTAAAATGGACAAACTCAATCATGGAATCTAATCTTAGGAATACTGTGTTATTGTAAATAATAACCAAACGCTATAAAGTCAGATATATCAACATGGTGCATAAATACTGTGAATACAAGATAGAGTACAACCACATCATCAGAGTTTGCACCAATTTATCACACATAATACGTATATATCATGAGTCTTAACCTCTCTCACTCCTTTTTGAGCTGGATTGTTGTTAATAAAACAAAACTGTGTATTTGTACTTCTATTCTGTTGTTGTTTTGTTTGTTTTTGTCCTTTTTTCTTGTTTGCCATGGCTCAAAATAAAGTATTCATTCATTCGTACTGAATGTGTGAAAATGTAGGCCCACTTGTACAGTATTAACGCAATAATAGTTACATTTACTTGCTTTTATTATTACCATGCTGGTTATTTTCTCTCTTTCAACTTTTACCATTTCTACCTACTTTTGTGTAACAAGGGTAAAATGGATGAGTTGTTATTGCTGACCAGCCTATAAGAAGCTGGTCACATGATTGACTTTTAAATATTACAGAAGCATAATTCCTGCTCGACTCAATCTGTAGCGTTTCACTGATTCACTGTCATCCAGTGTATAGAATATTTCTCCTGTCTCCACCGTCCACCATTTTGAGCTCTTAGGGAACTTTTAAGTCGCTAAAAGTCCACCTCTCAACTCTTAAGGGATCTCCCCTTAAGAGCACTCTTAAGAGCTAGGATTCTTTAGGAATAGCTTTTATCTTAACTAGGAGCTACTCCTCACTTTTAGGGGAAATTCTAAGAGTTGGTCAAGATTCTAAGAAACTTCTTAGAATTTGGCTACTAGGAGCAACTTTTAGCACTAAGAATCTTTAGGAATACGGCCCCTGGTCTTGTTGCTGGTAGACAGAGCAGTGTGATGTGAGACCTGGTCTTGTTGCTGGTAGACAGAGCAGTGTGATGTGAGACCTGGGGCCGTATTCCTAAAGATTCTTACTGCTAAAAGTTGCTCCTAGTGGCCAAATTCTAAGAATTTTCTTAGAATCTTGACCAACTCTTAGAATTTCCCCTAAAAGTGAGGAGTAGCTCCTAGTTAGGCTGCCGTTAGGTCAGTTAATACAAAGAAACAAAGTGTCCTACCACAATTACGCCGACGACACTCAGATCTATGTCTCACTGACTGCAGGAGAACATGGACCACTGGATTTGCTCCTTCACTGTATCCAACAGATCAGTGACTGGATGCAAAATAATTTCCTCCAGCTAAATGCAGACAAAACCGAAATCATTGTCTTTGGTCCCCAGAAACAAAGAGAGGGCGTCATTTGTCAACTTCAGTCTCTCTCCCTACTTCCTTCAGACAAGGTCAGAAATTTGGGAGTAATACTGGACTCAGACCTAAATTTCAATAGCCACATAAAATCAATAACATCAACAGCTTTTTACCATCTGAAGAACATTGCCAAAGTTAGAAATATAGTGTCCAGGGCAGACTTGGAGATTCTTGTCCATGCATTTGTCTCCAGCAGGCTAGACTACTGCAATGGCCTGCTCACAGGTCTGTCCAAACAGACCTGTAAGCAGCTGCAGTACATCCAAAATGCAGCAGCTAGAGTCCTGACAGGAACCAGGAAGTATGACCATAGTAGTCCGGTCCTCAGGTCTCTGCACTGGCTTCCTGTGGCTCAAAGAATAGATTTTAAAACAGCTCTGCTTGTGTACAAGTCTCTCCATGGCCTTGCACCAGAATACATTAGTGACATGTTGGTGTCATATGAACCGGCCCGGACTCTGAGGAGCACAGGGACTGGCCTCCTGCTGGTGCCCAGAGTGAGAACCAAACATGGGGAGGCTGCGTTTCAGATCCATGCAGCTAAGATCTGGAACAATCTCCCTGAAAATGTGAGGGAGGCGTCTACTCTGTCAATGTTCAAATCCAGGTTAAAGACTGTTCTGTTTGCCTGTGCATACAACTGAAGGATTTTATCTCCATTTCTAATGCACTGCTGTCATTTATTTATTTTTTTAAATTTCTTGTGTAATTTTGAAAGTTTTAATGGTTTTATTCTTTTGTGTGATTTTAATGTTTTAATTGTGTTTTAATCTTTTGTGTGATTTTGATGTTTTAATTGTGATTCTGGTGTTTGTTTTATGTGATGATTTGTGATGTGGACTGTGAAGCGCTTTGTGTTGCCATGTGTATGAAAGGCGCTCTACAAATAAACTTTGATTGATTGATTGAAAAGCTATTCCTAAAGAATCCTAGCTCTTAAGAGTGCTCTTAAGGGGAGATCCCTTAAGAGTTGAGAGGAGGACTTTTAGCGACTTAAAAGTTCCCTAAGAGCATAAAATGGTGGACGGTGGAGACAGGAGAAATATTCTATACACTGGATGACAGTGAATCAGTGAAACGCTACAGATTCAAGCAGGAATCATGTTTGTGGTATATTTAAAAGTCAATCATGTGACCAGCTTCTCATTGGCTGGTCAGCAATAACACCTCATCCATTTTACCTTTGTTACACAAAAGTAAGTAGAAATGGTAAAAGTTGAAAGAGAGGAAAAAGTGGTCCTAAATTGTCACACATTCAGTACGAATGAATGAATACTTTATTTTGAGCCATGGCAAACAAGAAAAAAAAGGACAAAACAAACAAAACAACAACAGAATAGAAGTACAAATATACAGTTTTGTTTTATTAACAACAATCCAGCTCAAAAAGGAGTGGGAGAGGATAAGACTTTTAAACTCCCTTGTACTTGATTTGTACAGTGTATGTATAATATGTTTATATTAATATTGTTTCCTTAATTCCTTATAAGTCTATACATATCACAGCCTTTACTAATCCTAACGTTATCATTATCATCATTTATCCATATAATATTTATAATAATAATTTTCTTTATCATGTATATTATATATAGAGTAATATTTAAATTATATGTATATATATATATATATATATATATATATATATATAAAATTATAAGTGCTCATGATATATACGTATTATGCGTGATAAATTGGTGCTGAGCAAGCTCTGATGATGGTGTATAAGTCTAACTTTACTATTCACAGTATTTATGTACCATTGATATATCTGACTTTATAGCTTTTGGTTATTATTTACAATAACACAGTGTTCCTAAGATTAGATTCCATGATTGAGTTTGTCCATTTTAGGGCCCTTATTTTGCCTATTATCATCAAAAATATGTTTGTTCTAACTTTTAGGATCAACCAATCACAGCGTCTGAAATGATGACTCATACCTAGCAACGGGGTCGGCCACGCCTCCTCACTAAGATAAAAGTTGTTGTCAATTCCTTGAGTTCTCTAAGAGTGTTCTGGAATAACTTTTAAGCTAAGACTCCTAGCTAGGAGTTTTTAGGTTAAGATAAGAGCTCTCTGAGAGGACTCTCAGAATCTTTAGGAATACGGCCCCTGGTCTTGTTGCTGGTAGACAGAGCAGTGTGATGTGAGACCTGGTCTTGTTGCTGGTAGACAGAGCAGTGTGATGTGAGACCTGGTCTTGTTGCTGGTAGACAGAGCAGTGTGATGTGAGACCTGGTCTTGTTGCTGGTAGACAGAGCAGTGTGGTGTGAGACCTGGTCTTGTTGCTGGTAGACAGAGCAGTGTGATGTGAGACCTGGTCTTGTTGCTGGTAGACAGAGCAGTGTGGTGTGAGACCTGGTCTTGTTGCTGGTAGACAGAGCAGTGTGATGTGAGACCTGGTCTTGTTGCTGGTAGACAGAGGAGTGTGATGTGAGACCTGGTCTTGTTGCTGGTAGACAGAGCAGTGTGATGTGAGACCTGGTCTTGTTGCTGGTAGACAGAGCAGTGTGATGTGAGACCTGGTCTTGTTGCTGGTAGACAGAGCAGTATGGTGTGAGACCTGGTCTTGTTGCTGGTAGACAGAGCAGTGTGATGTGAGACCTGGTCTTGTTGCTGGTATAGACAGAGCAGTGTGATGTGAGACCTGGTCTTGTTGCTGGTAGACAGAGCAGTGTGATGTGAGACCTGGTCTTGTTACTGGTAGACAGAGCAGTGTGATGTGAGACCTGGTCTTGTTGCTGGTATAGACAGAGCAGTGTGGTGTGAGACCTGGTCTTGTTGCTGGTATAGACAGAGCAGTGTGATGTGAGACCTGGTCTTGTTGCTGGTATACAGAGCAGTGTGATGTGAGACCTGGTCTTGTTGCTGGTATAGACAAAGCAGTATGGTGTGAGACCTGGTCTTGTTGCTGGTATACAGAGCAGTGTGATGTGAGACCTGGTCTTGTTGCTGGTATACAGAGCAGTGTGATGTGAGACCTGGTCTTGTTGCTGGTAAAGACAGAGCAGTGTGATGTGAGACCTGGTCTTGTTGCTGGTAGACAGAGCAGTGTGATGTGAGACCTGGTCTTGTTGCTGGTAGACAGAGCCCAGACGGAGCTGCACCAGGTGAGCCTCGTGTGGAGGAGGACGGAGGCTCAGGCACCGCTCATAACTGTCCTGAGCTGAGCCGAGGCAGCCCTGGAGGAAGCAGCAGTGGCCCTTGAGAGCCCAGGCCATGGCATTCTGACCGAGGACACACAATTCAATTCAATTCAATTAATATTAAATTAAGCCCAAAATAATTTCCAATTTGAACACAGGAAATACAAACATATAATAGTATCATACAATACTGGTCCACTGTGCATGGATGTAAATAAATCTGCTTAAATGTCCTTGCACAGCCCTTAAATGTCCTGGGATAAAAGTATCAAAAAGTATTGAGAACTAAAACTAGTATTGAAGACGAAAAACATTATTATTAACCAAACAAGGTGTTTATTTGTGAAGAGTTTTTCTCTGAAACCATCTGTAATACTGTAGATGCAGACGGAGCACATGTGTAGATGGGGGCTCACCTGTTGGTTTAGCTGCAGCGCCCCCTCCAGGCTGTCCAGAGCACTGCTGTACTCCTCTCGGAGCAGATGGAAATGACCCAAAGGAACGAGGAAAGACTCAGTGTGTCCTGAGGTCAGCAGCTCCTGGGCCAAAGCACGCTCTGCCAGCTGCAAACACAAACTCTGCATCACAACATTCCACTGCAGCAGCGCATGTTTCCTGGTCACTATGGTAACGGTAACTGTCATGTAACTGTGACGTCTTAGTTTTTAGGCCTCTCCACAAGTCCCAATAACATCATGTTATTTTAAAAATCTGTTGTAGATTATAACTTTAAACATGTTATTTGGCTCAATGTCTGAGTGGTTAGCCTCTCAGTGAGGAGGTCCTGGGTTCGAATCCCGGGATTCTCTGAGTGGAGTTTGCATGTTCTATCTGTGTAGGTTTCTTCAGTTGCTCTGGTTTCTCACTAAAACATTTACAGCTCTGGTCCTGACCAAGTGCATCACCTGGACCTCGTGGCAGTGGGAGGATGGGTCAAATGCAGAGACAATAAAGTATGGATGTCTGTTGCCTTTAATAATAATAATAATAATAATGTCATCTGCGTTCACCTGTAGAGCGTAGTTCTGCAGCAGGAAGCTCGTCGTCTGTGAGTAAACACTGGGTCTGCTCTGGACGTTCTGCTCCTCGGATCCTAACCAGACATTTAAGAATCACTTCAGTTCATTTTCAAATAGGATATAACAGCATCGAAGTCTAATACAAATAGATTAGTCATTAATCAAATAATGCGAGTGTTAGAGCAGGGGTACCTGACTTTAAAACCATAGAAAAACATCTAAAGTAGAGTTCATAGACCAAGAGCATGATTCCATCACTAATTTCACATTCATGCATATTTTAAATCTGTCGCAGCTTTAGATCACCTTTCTCAGACGGAAAGGTGAAAAAATGAAAAAAAGCCTCACTCAGCTGATTTCAGCCCAAAGAGTCAAACAGTGACCCACAGGGATCTTTCCAGTCTGCAACAGATAAATGTGTTTTAATAAGACAGAATGTTGTAGTGTGATTTGTCACACTACACACTTCTTTCTTATGTTTTATTTCTTACAGGAAAAGTCAGGAACCCCAGCTTTAACATTCCCAAACAATGTTGTCATTTTAGTTCCTGTTTTATTGTGTTTCATCTGTGTCTCTGTTAAATTGCTGGTTAGTCCTTTGTTTTTGTTTTAGTTCTCCAGATTCAGATTCAGAACTAAACTTTATTCACTCCATCAGAGACAGTTAGTTTGAGCAGCACAGGGCATAAAAAAATAAAAAACACAGGTAATATAAATACAGTAACATACTGTAATCAATATTTATTATATATATATATATATATATATATATATATATATATATATATATAGTGCCTTGCGAAAGTAATCAACCTTCAACCTTTCGCCACATTTCAGTCTTCAAACATAAAGATATAATTTTTTTTTTTGTCATGAATCAACAACAAGTGGGACACAATCGTGAAGTGGAACGAAATTTATTGGATAATTTAAACTTTTTTAACAAATAAAAAACTGAAAAGTGGGGCGTGCAATATTATTTGACCCCCTTGCGCCAATACTTTGTAGCGCCACCTTTTGCTGTAATTACAGCTGCAAGTCGCTTGGGGTATGTCTCACATCTCTGCACATCGAGAGACTGGAATTCTTTCCCATTCTTCCTTGCAAAACAGCTCGAGCTCAGTGAGGTTGGATGGAGAGCGTTTGTGAACAGCAGTCTTCAGCTCTTTCCACAGATTCTCGATTGGATTCAGGTCTGGACTTTGACTTGGCCATTCTAACACCTGGATACGTCTTTTTGTGAACCATTCCTTTGTAGATTTGGCTTTATGTTTTGGATCATTGTCCTGTTGGAAGATAAATCTCCGTCCCGGTCTCAGGTCTTTTGCAGACTCCAACAGGTTTTCTTCCAGAATGGTCCTGTATTTGGCTCCATCCATTTTCCCATCAATTTTAGCCATCTTCCCTGTCCCTGCTGAAGAAAAGCAGGCCCAAAGCATGATGCTGCCACCACCATGTTTGACAGTGGGGATGGTGTGTTCAGGGTGATGAGCTGTGTTGCTTTTACGCCAAACATATCGTTTTGCATTGTGGCCAAAAAGTTCGATTTTGGTTTCATCTGACCAGAGCACCTTCTTCCACATGTTTGGTTTGGTGTCTCCCAGGTGGCTTGTGGCAAACTTTAAACGAGACTTTTTATGGATATCTTTGAGAAATGGCTTTCTTCTTGCCACTCTTCCATAAAGGCCAGATTTGTGCAGTGCACGACTGATTGTTGTCCTATGGACAGACTCTCCCACCTCAGCTGTAGTTATCTGCAGTTCATCCAGAGTGATCATGGGCCTCTTGGCTGCATCTTTGATCAGTCTTCTCCTTGTTTGAGATGAAAGTTTGGAGGGACGGCCGGGTCTTGATAGATTTGCAGTGGTCTGATACTCCTTCCATTTCAATATAATTGCTTGCACAGTGCTCCTTGAGATGTTTAAATCTTTTTGTATCCAAATCCGGCTTTAAAGGAATAGTTCACCGTTTTTACATACTGACAAATGTTCTTACCTTACCTTAGACTAGTTAATACGTACCTGTCTGGTCTTAGTCCGTGCGCTCTGTCATGCAAACGGAGCAAAAACGGGAGCACAACCGCAGCCTCCTCTGTATATTTTGTAGCACCAAAAGGTAGCTCCCGCTAGAAGCTACCAAACTCTTCCAAGTGTTCCCTATTAAATGTATATAGTTACGTGACGTGTTACACTGCAAAGTATAGTAACACAGAAATGTAACAGTCGATTTTCTCAGCGGATAAAACGGGTACTATATTGTGAGGCGTAGTAATCTGAGGGGCGCTACGTCCGCGCACTAACTTCTCTCCGGAGACTTCTCTCTTGCTCACTTCCGTCAATAGAAGCAGCGTGACTTGTAATACACACAGTAGCAGCGAGAGAGAAGTCTCCGGAGAGAAGTTAGTGCGCAGAGAAGTTAGGAGCGCTACGTCCGCGCACTAACTTCTCTCCGGAGACTTCTCTCTCGCTGCTACTGTGTGCACTACAAGTCACGCTGCTTCTATTGACGGAAGTGAGCGAGAGAGAAGTCTCCGGAGAGAAGTTAGTGCGCGGACGTAGCGCCCCTCAGATTACTACGCCTCACAATATAGTACCCGTTTTATCCGCTGAGAAAATCGACTGTTACATTTCTGTGTTACTATACTTTGCAGTGTAACACGTCACGTAACTATATACATTTAATAGGGAACACTTGGAAGAGTTTGGTAGCTTCTAGCGGGAGCTACCTTTTGGTGCTACAAAATATACAGAGGAGGCTGCGGTTGTGCTCCCGTTTTTGCTCCGTTTGCATGACAGAGCGCACGGACTAAGACCAGACAGGTACGTATTAACTAGTCTAAGGTAAGGTAAGAACATTTGTCAGTATGTAAAAACGGTGAACTATTCCTTTAAACTTCTCCACAACAGTATCTCGGACCTGCCTGGTGTGTTCCTTTGTCTTCATGGTGTTCTCTGTGCTTTAAACAGAACCCTGAGACTATCAAAGAGCAGGTGCATTTATACGGAGACTTGATTACACACAGGTGCATTCTATTTATCATCATCAGTCATTGAGGACAACATTGGATCATTCAAAGATCCTCAACTGAACTTCTGGACTGAGTTTGCTGCACTGAAAGTAAAGGGGCCGAATAATATTGCACGCCCCACATTTCAGTTTTTTATTTGTTAAAAAAGTTTAAATTATCCAATAAATTTCGTTCCACTTCACGATTGTGTTCCACTTGTTGTTGATTCATGACAAAACATTTAAATTGTATATCTTTATGTTTGAAGCCTGAAATGTGGCAAAATGTTGAAAGGTTCAAGGGGGCCGAATACTTTCGCAAGGCACTGTATATACAGTATGAGACTCCCGTTCTGGTCTTTGTCCCAAGCTCCTGTGTTTAAATATTTTGGATTCTTGTTTATATAATGTATTATTTTTGCAGTGTGGTATTTTGGTCCTTTCTCTTTTTAATGGAAACGTTACAAATGTAGCCCTCAAAACTATTTCTTGTGCTCTTGATAAAATAATGTCGTCTTTCTCCTTGAGTTAGTTTGATTCTCTGCTCTCGGGTCGGACCTCGGTGCTGGTCTCTCACTCGCAGCTCAGAGGCTTTGGTGAAAGCTCTGTGACTCTGGACCACATCCTCCTGGTTCTGGTGAAGCAAACCTGCAACAGAGAGACACAGGCTCCTGTTATTTCAACATCCTATAAAGGGAATAAAGGAATACAGAGATAAAGGCAATACTGCGTTATAACGATGAGTATAAATAGACAAAGCTGTTCATAAAGTTATTTTTTCATTTCTTGTATTTTTTTAAAACAAGATACTTTTGCTCTGTCCCATCGGTGAATCTTGAATGTGTTCCATTCAAGCTGCATTTTGCTAAATTTGAAAATGTCTTCACTTCTTTTCCATTACTTTTTGCAGTGCAATCAACAAACATGTTTACTATTACTGATTAAAATATATTCAGCTGTTTAATTAGTTGTGTTCTATCTTCAGCTTTGTCAGGCTGAGCAGGTGTTGTATCTTCTTTTGATCTAATCCATGTCGGACTCAAAGATATTTTCAGTTTGCACTCACTGAGTAAAGTCCAGGCCTCCAGCGCCAGACCGCCCTCAGAGGCAGCCCGCTCCCACAGACTCTGGGCCCGAGAGAACTGCTCAAACATGAACGCCAGGACGCCGCACATGATGAGACTGAGAGGAGAAGACAAAGGTTTACACCTCCTGGCAGAGATGTCATTGTTTTAGCCACATTTCACATTTAACCCTTTTGCTTCACAACAGGACTTTGGGTAAAATCCCCAAAAAACTGTTTTGGTTTCTCTCCAGTTCTGTTAGAATGGAGTGATTTTAATGGTTTTACTTTTATACATTAAACTGTTTCATATCATTTTAAATACAGTAAAACTGTTTGTTGAAAGGCTAATGCTAACTGCTGTTAAGTAAACACTGTGTTGTTATGGTAACTAGCACTTGCTCTTTTCTGTTGGAAGAACAAGCTCCACTACAACCCAGAACCAGAACCAGTCTAGGACCAGCTCCAGAGAAAAGTGGCTGTAACTGGCTGAGCTACAACTGAAGGATTTTAATGCCTTGTATTGTTTGTTCAGCAAGAAACTTTGAGTATGATCTGTGCTATATAAATAAACTTGCCTTGCCTTAAATGCCATAGAATGTTTGGTGCCAAGTGACCAACAATGGCTATATTCCGAGTGAAAAAAAAGTAAACTAATGACGTAAATAACATAGATTTACAAAAGAGTTGAGGAGAGTAAAAATGTACATGAGCCGAGTATTTACAAGTTCATGATTTCCCCACTCATTGTTGTTGGTTGTCTGTATCGATACTTGTCTAACATGTTTTCTAACACTAACACTAACCATAGTGTTTGCTGATCTGTACAGAGGTCAAATGTGCAGCGGAAAGTGGAGGCTTTAATGTTGTCCAATTAGAATGGGCTGTTCTAGCATCAGAGAGTAGAAGAACTGTGGAATCTGAGCTGCATAATTTGAACTCTGAACCTCTGTTATATCTGTATTACTGCTAAACATTGTTATCTGAACAACTGAATGTATTTGTTCTGACCCCATTGTTACTAAAGCATCTTTATCTATAGCATGAGTCATTAATATCTCTGTTCTGACCATAGACTGTATATATTAACGGACAGAGTCACGCCTATCTCCGCCGTTCATAGGAGTTGGCCATGAAAAGTGCTTTCATGGAGCAATCCAAAATGGCCGCGAGTGGTCCCGCCCACAAGAAAATTGTGAAAAAACGCACCTGCGCATGCGTCAGCCGGCGCAACTCCATTCATTTGAACGAGAGACTTCAAAAATTCCCCGCCAGTAAACTACAGTGGACCAAAAAAATTCACCCCCCTCAGCATTGACACACATGTGGAACGGAGCTTTGGGCCAAGAGACAACTTTTGGTCCATCCTGTAAAGACGTTTTTGAGAGGTCTGCCAACGCTATATGTTAGCATTGGCTAATTCTACTTCTGGGTCCACCCTCATCGGCCCGGGGTGGTATTGCAAGCATGTCAGCGCACGTCATTTTGGCTACTTTTGAGCTGGGACCCTCCCCCACTGGTTCTGACACACACCCCTCTCACCTGCACATGGACTGTTCCAACCCCTCCCCTTAGACAGGAGGCTTCGGTCCATTACATGGCAATAAAAATGATTCTGATTCTGGTACAAGTCCTGTAGCCTAAAGCTTTGTCTCCTAGTCGATATGGAACTCAAAAATAAAATGTGATCGCTGCTGCCTCTGTTTTCATCTCTCATTTCACGTTTTCCACACTGACCACAGAAAACTCAGAGCAGTCCGATCAGTATCCACACTCTACTGGGGGATGGAGACTGTTGCTATGACTGTATGAGCAGAGCAGGCAGAGACCTGGCCTGGTGAGCCGGCTGGGAGACGATCACATCCTGGAAACACACTTCAGCTTTCATGTAGTCTCTGCTCTGCATGTAGAGGCTTCCCAACAGAAACGTGTGCCCAGGGTTAGAAGGCTCCCTGGTCAGCAGCTGGAAAGGACAAAACAAACTTTATTCAATGCCTGAAAGACATTCACTGACATTCTCTCCAGTGGTGATGACAAAAGCAAGACACAGAACACACAGCTGCACCAAAGCCTCCGATCTACACATCACATTCAGACCTATCGTACATGTTTTTTAGCGGTAGGGGAAACCAGAGCACCTGGAGGAAACCTACGCAGACACAGGGAGAACATGCAAACTCCACACAGAAAGGTCTAGAGGTGGAATAAAACCCAGGACTTTCTTGCTGTAAAACAAAAGCTCTAACCACTGCACCACCCATTTAATTGTATAAAGTATATTGTATTTGTTCAGGGCCACACACCAGGATGTGTTCATATCAGAAAGATTAAATATTGCCATAGAAGTCATGTTGCCATAGAAGTTTAAAACTAAATATCTATTCAAAATGTGAAAAGAACAATGCAATCCAAAACTCTTTTCCTTACTCACCCACAACCATTACCTGGAATTAAATATAACATTTTCTATCAATTATTTATAATCACAGTTGGGTAGTGCGTATACTGTAACAATAAATATATATATTTTTATTGTAAGAAAAGTCAGATAATCCAGCTTCATTCAGTGCCAGGCTGTTTTAGACGCTGTTTGTAGACCAGTGATGGGCAAACTCTGGCTCTGTGAATAAATGTGGCCCTTTGCAAGTTTCCATCAGGCCCCTGAGCCCTCTCGGTTTACAGAGATAAACGACTAACATCCCTCTGTGCTGATGCAGTCTCTGGAGCCGTAATCCTCACTTTGCAGTTATATATAACAGTTAATATTTGTAGTATAGTATTTGTGCAAAACATGTAACTTGAAAAAAACCTTGTAAATGAAGTCCAACCGTCAAAAACAGGCTGATATTCCAATGTGGCCTCAGGAGGAAGCGTGGCCCAGGCCTGTTCTAGACCATGTTTGACAACGTTTGGAGAGACACAGAATATTCTATGTTTTTCTACAGACACATGCTTTACCAGGTTTGAAACACAAGGATTTAATCGAGGAAGGGAAACCCTGATCTCACTTTCACACATGAAGAGTGTTCACACCTGAAGGCAGCACTGAAGAGCTCTCTCTGAGTCCCCAACACTCTGAGCTTCTGTGGCAAACTCTGTCACCTGCGCCACACTCAGAGGAAACTCCTCTGTGGTGTCGCCCTGCTCCTCTGCAAACACCTGAGAACACACATCATCTCACAATGGAAATACAGTATGTGTGTGTGTGTGTGTGTGTGAGTTTGTGTGTGTGTGTGTGTGTCTGTGCGTGCGTGTGTGTGTGTGTGTCTGTGTGCGTGCGTGTTTGTGTGTGTCTGTATATGTGTGCGTGTGTGTGTGTGTGTGTGTGCGTGTGTATCTGTCTGTGTGTGCGTGTGTGTGTGTGCGTGTCTGTGTGTGTGTGTGCGTGTCTGTGGGTGTGTGTGTGTGTGTGTGTGTGTGCGTGTGTGTGTCTGTATATGTGTATGTGTGCACTTGTTTTCAACTCCTGGTGGGTTCCATAACCTGAGATTCCACTCACGTCATGGGGACTGGTTTTACGTGGTGGGGCCCGAACACCGGACCCCACTGGTCCAAGCTTAATAATCAATGGGTAATGCTTTTCTAACGGTCCTTATGCAGTCTCTGTAAAAATATGGAAAGGACCCCTGGAGGTTTACTTTCCTGAAAAAAGTGTGTTATGTGTCGGAACCCTGGTGGTGGGTTGCGGGATATCAAGGAGGGGCACACTGGGGCAATTTCAGTCCAGCAGGCTGGAGCCAATCATGGAGCAGCACAACAGAGGAAATCAGGTGTCAGGCTAGAAAAAGGTGCAAGTGTGTGGTTCATTAGGCTGCAAGAAATCATGGAGGAGCACACTGAAGCGCACGCTTACAAACCACTGGTAAGTGCTGACTACAAGTCATGACTTCAAATTGTTATATAGAATTATTACTAATTATTTGTTGTTTGTGCAGCTTAGTCAAGAGTCCCTAATTGATGAAGTCGACTCAGATTCTGACGATTTAACTGTCAAGAAGAAACCTGTAAAAGAGTAAGGAAAAAGAAAAATCAAAAACACTTTTCTTCAAGACTCGGAAAGTGACGAACCAAAGGCAAATAAGATTGTTATCATGCAGCTGCAAAAGAAGAAAAATGGGGGGAGAGTTTACAGCAAGAGGCACTTCTGCCCCTACTGTTCAATGTCCTGCCACAAAATGTCCCGTCATTTGACTAGAAAACATGGAAATGAAAGTGACGTAGCCAGAGCATTGGCTCTACCTGTGAAATCTAAAGCACGTAAACTTCAGTTTGATTTGATCAGGAATAGTGGAAACCGTGAGCACAATTTTGAGGTTTTAAAGGCCGGCATTGGAACTTTAGTCCCAGCTAAACAGCCAAATTCCCCAGTTAAATCCAGTGAGTTTTTGCACTGTATAGACTGTGGGGCATTGTTTAAGCGAAAGTGGCTGTGGAGGCATGTGGCCAGGTGCCGGCTTTCACAGAAAGATGCCCAGGCTAAACCAGGTAGAAGTAGGGTCCAGTCCCTCTGCTCCCTAGCCCAGCCTGTACCGGAGGGCATCAGCAAAAAGCTGTGGTCTTTAATTTGGGCAATGCATCAGGATGAGGTCACGGGTGTTGTCAAAGCAGAAAAGGGGATTCTGAGACTCGGAGAGCACCTGTACTTAAAACATGGGCATGATAAGACTAAGCATGATCACATTAGGCAGAAAATGAGAGAAGTCGGTAGGTTAATTAACGAAGCAAAAACCGCAGGGAAACTGAAAACAATGAAGGATTTCTTTATTCCTTCCAACTTTAACCATGTGATTGATGCAGTCAGGTCTGTGGCTGGATATGATGAGGAAACAAATCAATACAAGACTCCATCCTTGGCCCTCAAACTCGGCCATAACCTCAGAAAGCAGATATTCTTGAATGTGACTCAAAAATGGAGCATTGTGTTGATGAACTATTTATTAAAAACCTCCAACGAAGCCGGCTGCTTTTTGAGAAGAGGTGGGACGTCTGTGTTTCTTCTGCTGCCCTACAGACCCTCCGGCAAGCCAAGTGGAACACTCCGGACCTGCTCCCTCTGAGAGTGTGTGCGTCTGTGTGTGTCTGTGTGTGTCTGTGTGCGTCTGTGTGTGTCTGTGTGTGTCTGTGTGCGTCTGTATGCGTCTGTGTGTGTGTGGGTGTCTTTCTGTCTCCACCTCTTTGGCCAGAGCCACTTGTGCCTCATCCATGGAGTCCAGGTTCAGATCACCAACAAACTGCAGAATCTCCAGAGGCGTCGAGAATAATTCAGTCTTCTGCATTTTCTCAAGGACGATCCTCACAACGTTGTGCTGGACGTTCAAATGCTACAGCTCAGAATTATACTTAAAGAGGCTATTTCCTAGTGGACCACACTCTGCAAGTCTGAATAACTCTCTTTGAGCCCTTTTTAAAACAAAAATGGAAACACAATTGTTGGAGCATTTTTCAGAGACCACCAAAGACGATTTCATAATAAGTTTTCCAAGTAAGGCGGTGTGCGGGAATACGTATTTTGATTCAACTGGAGGCTGTACAGACCTCTTCTCCTGCACACTCGAACGGGAGTCATTGAATTTGTATTTTTATTCTTTTTAAATCAGCGTCACTCTAGAAACTACTGAACGAGATGTCATAGTGATAGTCAGAGATAGACTATTACAGGATCCTTTTGAGATAAGGGGCGGAGCTTCATGCTTGTGCCAGATGTTATATTAGCGGGGATGGATCTAAAAACAACACCAGGTCTGTTTGTGATGAGGGAACAATGTTTGCCGTTTGGTATAACATATCTCCTACAGGCACGATCTAACACAGGACGTACAGGGATCTATAAAGTATCTATCCATCTATTCTAACTTGTTCTTGTTAAAACAGCAGTGTACCTTGAGTTCCTCTGTGTCCGTGACGTATCTGTTGGACGTCTGCAGCTCCCTCTTCACCTCTGCCTTCATGTGTTCCCGCTCTCCATCTGAAAAGGCACATTGGGCTCCGTACAGCTCCTCTGCCCACCCACACGCCTGGCTGATGGCGTCTCCAACCAGACCATGGTACTTCTGAAGAGCCTTGAAAGGACAGAGGAAAACACGACACCTGAAAGTTTGTATCTGTCCGACTTTCCATCTGACTCAGCACCAAAGTTCACTCTCTCATCCCCTCACTCCCCTCTCGCAGACGGAGACTCACTCTTTCAGCTTTAGAAGGCCCTTTCGGAACCCGGGGTGTGGGAGGGATCAGCGCCATCAGCCTGCAGACAGAACAAATCATTATAAGTTATTATTTCATCCATTTCTCCAAAGATTCATTAAGAGTTGCCTTTACCTTCTGGGCAGCTCATCGAGGAAATTGATGGGAACTAGCGGCTTCTCCAAAGAGATCTCAACCACAACATATGTTCTGGCCTCTACATATGACTGGATAAGGACTCGCATAAGTATATTTCTTACACATATTTCATCATTTTGCATTGAAAACGAAAGCTTACATTTTCTTGTTCATGTCTGACTTCTGATCCGTCGTTGGCTCCGTTGTTCCTGCTGTGTGTGGGCTGTGGACAAAGTGGAAATGAAAGCTCCAGTGGCAGTTTAGGGATTTGTTTGTGGGAGATGAGAGTGGTTTCAGGCTGACCTTCTTGGCGGAGCTCTGGCCTCCCGTTCCCTTCTTTCTCGCGACTGCAGCGGTCAACGCTCTCACGTGTTCCTTGAGCACGCTGACACTTCGCTGGGCCTTCGACACACGTTACAAAGACATGGATTAAGAACAATGACAAACACATCCTGCGTTGTTTTGTGTCGATGCAGGAGGGTCTGAGGACGGAGGGGATGATCCAGGACATTTACGGACCAATGGCTCAATGTGTTTTCTCTGTGCATGTTTTAGTCCTCTGAGATAAACACTGCTGTGGTTGTTGTGGTTTAGGGATACACGAAATAAATTGAATATTTCTGGCTAACATTGTGATTTTCGTTAACCTGTATGTGTACAAGGTCATTTATTCGGAGTAAAAATAACAAAGTGAAGAGAATGCCTTTTGAAAAAGTACTAAATGAAGCGATTACCTCATCTTTTAACCTTTACTTACTTTAAGATAACTTTGAATGCAGCAAAAAGCCGTTTCTTGAACAGCTATACAATGCTAACTGGTAGCAAGTAAACAGTGTGTTGCTATGGTAACTAGTACTGGCTCTTGTTTAGTAAATACACTTCCAGTTAGTTAGTGATTTCTATTTGATTGCGATGAATTGCGCAGCCTTTTAAGAATGGACTGAAACAGGAGCAAACGTGTTGGCCCTCAGACCTTCTCTGAGAGCAGGTTCTGGGAGAAGGTCTCCACGCTGTAGGCTCCTCTGATGCGAGTGGCTCCAGGCCTCAGCAGAGGAGACAGGTCAACGAAGGCCACTCCATGACACGGGATCTGGGGGCTCTCCGTCCACGGCTGCAACCGAAACACAACCACACACAGCACACTTATGCATGTGGCGAGAAAATAAATGATAAGATGCTCCTGTATTGTCTCTCATTTGAGAAATGTGTCTTAGGACAGGGGTTCACATACTTTACACTGACACCACATGCATTTATGGGACATTTATGGTACATACACCATAGTAGACACCATAGAGCAGAATAGACACAGGTTACAGCACCATCAGACACCCCTAGGACCACAGAGAGACAGACACAACAACCAGATCCCACAATCATTCCATACTTGCACTTCAGTGAACATAAAGTGCAGTATTCTATAGCACTTGCCCTAAGCCTAAAGTGCAGTATTCTATAGCACTTGCCCTAAGCTTAAAGTGCAGTATTCTATAGCACTAAGCTAGTGTGTGATTGTTGTTCTTACCAGTGAAGCCTCAGGCAGACTCTTCATGATCTCCAGGGGCCACAGTCCGCAGCTGGTGATGGTCTCACGGAGCCTGGAATCCAAAACTTCTGTTTGAACTTGGCTCATGTATAAAACTGTATTATTCCACTTGAGGGTTAATTTTTGTGTTTACTGTCTACACCCCTTATGACTCTAAAGCCTCTACTACTTACTCTGAAACTTAAACGCAATCTGTTTGAGAATCTGACAGCCCTGTAGTTTTGGCCCCTGATGACTCATTTGATATAATTATAAGTGAGAACAATAAGTGCACAAAGGGTTCCAAAAGACAGATACAAAAAGAACTCTCAAGTCTTTTGAACAATATTCTGTTTTGAATCGTTCATTACTGAAGCCTATGGATGTGGACTTTTGTTACATTTGGCAGGGGACGAGAAGTAAAGATACCCTTCTGCGCCACTAGAGGGCAGAGTAACACAGCCGATGCCCTGTTTATTTTCAGCTTCTCCTGAGTTTATACTATAATCTTTGTGTGTCGTTTGTCTATATTTTAATTGTCTGTTTTTCTAGTATTGTATATGGACTGTTTGATGTTTCTGAATTAAAGATTACAAATAAAATACACCTTTCATGAATCAATCTGTCGCACTAAACTAACATAGATCATCTTATGCTCATTGTATGTGTGTGAATTTAATGGTAAAGAATAAAGTATTTAGTTGAATATTATTTGCATGATGAGCTCTCCTCCTCAGGACCACGGACAGTGGTGAGGTTGTTTTGGAGCGAACAGACGTCAGATCTGCAGTGACCTGACTGTGGCCTCTTGGTTCAGGAAGCAGGGCATCTCCACATCCCAGCTCACTCTGGGCTTCACAGTCTCTGCCTCCACACGGAAACACTGGTCCTGAGGAGGAGAGAGAGGGTCATACATGTAGCTTGTTTCTAATCGTCGCGTCATCACTTGTATTTGATGGAGGTTGGTGCTGGTACCTCCTGGTCCTGGGTCTCCATGGAGTCTGTCCCGATGAAGGCTCCGGGGACCACAGTGTTGGCCGGCAGCAGCAGAGGCACAAAGGCTCTCTTTTTGTGCCGATGCTCCTCCTCCCTCGCTCCTGCAGCACTGAGCACCCCCTCGCTGAAAACTAGCTTCTGATTGGTCTGAAGGAGACGGAACAAGCAACGCCAGAGTCAGACAACGCAGCGGTGGATTTCATCTTCAACTTGTGTCTCTCTGCCAAAAGTACACCTGTGACATGTTAGTGCCATATGAACCAACTCGGACCAACTTCCTGAAAATGTGAGACAGGCTTCTTCTCTGGCAATGTTAAAATCCAGGTTAAAACAGTTCTGTTTAGCTGCAGACAATTGAAGGACTCCTTTAACGTACTGTGATTATTTATGATTTGAAGGCTTTGTTTTGTTCATTACTTTGAGTTACCTGTGTACAAACTGTGATATACAGATAAACTTGTCTTGCTTTAACATTCACCCTTTACACCCACTTTTGATGTTACTGTATGGACTGATGTGACTTTATGACATAAATTGGCATTAACAGACAAAGTGCTGTTGTGATATCACATAGCATAGCACAGCCACAGCTACAAGAACGTCCAGGTGAGAGTTTAGGGCTGAGACTAAACCCAGCGAAAGAGAGCAAGAAATAGCTTTACCTTCTATATAATGGAACAAATGAAATCTGGGCCACCTACTTTTCAAACCACATCAAATGTACAAGTTCCTCGCACTCAAAGCAGTTCAGATGATGATGGTTTTTTTCCAAACTCTTGCCAGATCCTTGTAGTTCGTTGAGTTCCACACAAGGATCTGTGATTTCAATAGGAGATGTATTTCAGAAGGCAAGGCCATGTAAAAAAAATATTGCATGTGATTGGATAAACCACTTGTTCATTATCTTGAATGACGTGCTACTTCAACCAATCACATCGAAGCACACGACTCCTCGCTGCCGTCATTATTGTTATAAGCAGTCGCTTCTATGAAATCCGGCGAGTTTGCATTGCCCTCAACCCCAGATCCTTGTGTGGAGCTCAGCAAAATGCCTCTGGTGGAGAATGGCGGAACTACAAGGATCTGGAGAGAGTCAAGTTAGGTGTTTTTGCCTCTGTCACATATTCAGATCATTGAGGAGGAAAGGATCACAATCACCCAACCCTCACCTCACCTTTGGCTACAACCTAGCATGTCAGCAATATATTTAACCGTTTACAGCATGTTCATTCATATGCACAGTCCCAGTCACATAGATAAAGAAATGTAATTAATGTTTGATCATTGCCCCTAACTATCTGTGTGTGTTTTTGTGACCTGTGCAGTGAGTGGGAGCTCCATGGCTGCAGTGTAGGTGTGAGCACAGGCGCCAGAGGAGAGGCCCCAGGACTCAGGGACAGAGAAGAGCCTCTCCACGGTGACCTTCAGGAGCCGACAGGAGGACAGGGCCTCTGCAGACACCACTGCTTCTGAGACGTCCAGCACCAAGTCCAGGGACCCCTGAAAATATAGACACACACACACACACACACACACAGACACAGACACAGACACACACAGACACACAGACACAGACACAGACACAGGTATATACTATAACATGAAAGCATGTCACCACAAAAAGCATTGTTACAGTTCAACACACATTTTCTTTCGTAAGAATCAATAAACAGCTTCAGTAGTGTCCGCCCATGCCACAATAGCCATGCCACAATAGGCTGAATATCCCAAAGTGCCTCCAGGGGAAAAGAATTGCCCGCTCCTGAATGATGGAGATACATACAGCAGTCGTGTTGCTGGAATCCATGGAGGCAGAATGAAGAGGAACTCGAGATGAGAAGTTAGTCTGGCCTGAAAATACAGCAGACCTGAAAACTCTTGTGGAGGACAAAAGTATCTGATGTGTGTGTTCATGTATGTGTGTGTGTGCGTGTGCATGTGCGTGTGCGTGTGCGTGTGTGCGTGTGCGCGTGTGTTTGTCAAATCTGTAGCACTTTGAGGTTTTGTGGAAATTTAAGGCGCATTATAAGTATAAAGTACATGTAATAATTATTATTACATGTGTGTGTTTATATGTGTATGTGTGTGTGTATGCAACTGTAGGTGTGTGTGTGTGTGTGTGTGTGTCTTGAATTTTAATCTGTAGCATGCTGAGGTTTTGTGTAAATGTAATCCTAAAAAAAAAATTGTATTATTTTGTGTATGTGTCTGTGTGTGTGTGTGTGTGTGTGCGTGCGCGTGCGTGCGCGTGCGTGTGCGTGTGTGTGTGTGTGTGGATGTGACAATGGCTTGAACTGTTTTTATTTTATTTTATTTCATTTCACCCACTGAGATTAAGAACCTCTTTTTCAAGGGAGTCCTGGACAAAATGGGTTGTTTGAGTGGGTCTGTTGGGTCACTTTGTGTTACATAATAGTTTGACAAATTCTTTATAAAGTATCTATCTATCTCTATGAATATTGATTGATTGATTGATTGATTAATTGATTGATTGATGGATGGATGGATGTTTACCCTGTAGAAAAGGCAGGAAGTCCAGAACAGCCTGACCCAGCACTGCGCTCCTGGCATCTGCTTTCTTCTCCTCAGCCACAAAATCAAACACTGTCACTGGACACAACAAAACATTCCATCCTTACATTAAAGACCAGATTAGTTTGTTTTCCGGAGGCACATATTTGAACGGTGTGAATGCACTGACCAATGAGAAGCTTGGCGGCCAGCGCGGCGATGGCCTGAGCGTCTCGGCTGCACGAGAAGCTGCAGCTGAAGTCATAGTTGAAGCGGTCGTCAGAAGGATCTCGCACCTTCTTCTCAGACTCTCCCAACGCAAACTCGTCCACCTCGACTCTCACAAAACTCTTGAACTCTGCACAACGGCCTCTCTGAAAGTTAAGACAATGATAGATAGAATAGAGTAGGATAGAATAGAATAGAATGGATAGATAGATAGATAAATAGATAGTGTGTGTATGTGTGTAGTCACTCACTAATTAACAGCTATTTTAGTGCTAATCAGTGCACCCTAACCAAGGACCATAGACTGTAAATATTAATAAGGACACGTAAAATAAGGACAAATAAGTACTTCATTAATACCAATTAATAGCGAATTAACCATAATCTATCTAGAATAATTAGCACTTAATTCGTTTTTAATTACTGAGGCCAAAACAAAAGTGTGACTTTTTTTTAAATGTCCTAAATTTAGACAAGCAGACACAATGTTTGTTTAATTAAAATAACCAAAGAATATAGCAGTTATTTGTCTACATTAGTCTCTCAGAGGACGATTTAATATTATATAATAAAGTTATTATATGTTTCAGAATGAGAGCTAACTTTGAGCTAATGCTACTCCGCTGCTAACATTAGCATCATTAACCTAACGCTAACTAACTAGGTTACACGTTAGCTTCAGTTAGCATCTTTAACCTGTACATTAGCTTCAGTTAGCATCGTGATGTAAGAAGCAGAAAGTTACCAGTCTGTGGCCCCGGGTCACCCTCACGGTCACGGTGTGTGCGGGGACTTCTGTGGGACTCTGCGGAGCGTTCATGTCGCCCACATTCAGGGGGAAAGAGTGAATGAATGATGGAGTTTAAACTTCTAACGTTTGTATCACAGTGCAGAGTGAGTCCGTCACCATGACAACCGTGGGCGCGGTCTGTGCTTGTCCACAAGGGGGCAGCAGAGGACCCATTATTGTTTTATTCTATTACTGAATATAGAATACAAACTATAGAAGCAAATAACATTTCTATTTGTGTTAGGTCCGTGTACTTTTTCGTTCAATACATTTTCTATTTTTGAAGGGAAATGGAAAATCGAAAAGTGTTGGCTTGTTTTGTCAATTTTATTAAATGATACAATAATAATACAAAATTAAAACATGTCTATAAAAATCTATACATAAAAAAACGGAAATCTCCTCACTTCAGATTCAGATTCAGTTTATTTGCCATTTGCAGTAAAACCACATTGGAATACTTTAGCAAAAAGTCACCAGTGTGCACAAATACAGACATAACACAACATTAAAATAACACTTAATTCATTAACAGTTATTATTTGGAATATACTGATTCCTGTTTGCCGAATACAGGCATTCTCAAAAGATCAGAATTGAAAACTTGACATCAACAAGGGATGTTTTAAAAATAATGTGAAGACACAAATAACTGTTTATTTGACAGCGCATAACTGTTGTATATAGATTTACTCTCTGAAATGACGACAAAATACAAATCTTTTGCAATATGTTTTTTTGTTGAGTGTAAAATACAGTGAAAGCCTGGATTTATTTATTTATTCATTTATTTTAAGGTTTTTATTATTATTAAAGAACACAAGAAGAACACAACATAAAACAAATACCCACAAACAGAACAAACATGACAAACAAAATAATGATTGAGACAAAACAATCCTGGATTCATTCATTTCAAACGCTTTGGGTTTTTTAATGCTTCCCTCAACCATTTGGTAGATCACATTTTGAGTCTCTATATCGAGCTTGGAACTGAAATCTAGATCCTTGGGGCACTCACATGGTTTTAGACACTTTCCCACTTAGCACGTTAGGCTTTTACCACGAACCTCTGTCTCAATCATTTGGAAAAGGCCTTTAATTAAAAAACAATAAATCTATGCTTTCTTCCTGGAGAAAACACACCACATATCTTTTCCATTTTTTTAAGGGACTGATATACGTGGGGTGTATTATAAATATTTTAGTAAATATATGCATTTACACTGATGTCGAATTAAATATTTCTAAATTATTGATGAAATTACAAATGTTGATAATTAAGAGGCTTCTGCATTCGTTTGGAGGAAGGTCAGTTTGAGCGAAGACTGACTATTGTTCCGATCTGCTGCACCCACATCTTCACACGTTATTGATTTTATGTCAATTCAAATGTTCTGTGTGAAAGTGGCGCTGAACCGTCTGAAGGGCACAGGCTGAACCGAGACACCATTTTCTGTATTTTAACCTCGGGCTCATCGCGAGTGCACGGCCAGAACCCAGGCCAGAACCCAGGCCTCGCTTTTATACATTATCACATCGTCTGAATGCACCAGGCTCAAAAAGGCCCATCTTCATCGCCTCAAAACACACACACAGAATACTCAATGTTTCATCTCAGAGACATTTAAAAGCAAAAGATAATTGGCCTCAATCTGAAAAAAAAAAAGAATCTGACATCGTTTTGTGAAGCGATTAAAGCAATGTTCACTTTTCCCTTTAAAAAAGTAATATATTTTAAAATGGAAAAAACGACTCCCTGAAAGGCGAAAATTGGATTATTTTAAGATCGGACAAATCTAAAACAGTGTTAGGTACAAAACCAAATACATTAAAGTTCCGTAAACAGATTGTGGCTCAATAAAACGAAGTGGTTTAGATTTAATCAAAATAAATTGCTTGATTAATCCATTAGTTTATGAACCAATTATTGTGAAGGTTTGAAGCTGAAGAGAATCCACCAGAGAACAATTTAACAGAATATTGTGGGAAATCCAACTATTGAGATTATTTTGATGGAATTTCAACTCTTTAGAAACAATCCTTTGTGATTTAATCCAACAGCAGCACGTCGTCTGAATTGTTTAAGTTGAGACCGAGGAGACAAATTATTCATGAGGCAAAAATGTGGTTCCTCAGTTATTTAAAGATACCTCAATGTATTTATATTCTCATGGGACAAGAACAGATTTGGGGTTTTCTGTCTGGACCCGGACCGAGGCCTGGACTGGACCTTCCTGTTATTCCACTGAAGGATTGTGTCTTATTGTAATGTGATAACTTGTGATTGCCTCCATCTTGTTTTGTTAAATATGGTTTTCACAAATAATTTCGTCGATCACCTTTTGAGTCATACACAAATATATTGATAAAACTGGGGCACTTTGTTTCTGCACTTTTACCATCAAACTTCATCTCAACCATTTAGTAAAGGCCTATAATTAAAAATAGGTTCAAAAACAAATACTTGTGATTAGTGCCCTACAACTTAAACGTCAAGGAGTGAATGTAAAAGGCCCTTAGAATTGCCTTCTGAGTGAACTACAAATATAAACGTTCCTCCCCACAGCCCGGTCCCTGTCGCAGCCTCAGCAGCTGTGGGGACGGAGCGACTCCCTGGAGACTCGCGGTCCGCTGAGCAGGAGCCAGCCTCGACCAGCACAGACCGGCCTGGACCAGCAGCACATGCGGGAGGCGGAGACTGATGCATCCACGCGTCACAAATGAAACGACGGCTGAATTATTGATGTGAAGTTCAACGCTAAGAGTGAAGACCTGCAGAGGAGCAATGAGCAACGACAGCGGCTTAATGCATTCACTTATTTTATTCATAAGATGGGTCATTTTTTCAAACATCTTATGCACAGCAGATACAGAGACAAACATATTCTAAGCCAACCTAAATTCCTTCATTCTAAATGGTTTTGGGCCGATTGAAAAAGGCCTTCCCCAAAAACAACACATTCTAAAGCAGGCTCTCCGTCTCTTCACAGGAGCGCCGCACTAGCACGATATCTTCAGACAGATGCCACACTTCCCCTTTAAACAAATTGCACTTCATCTTTTTTAAAACTACTTTTAAACAGGGTTATAGTTTCAAAAATAACACAGAAAGAACACAAACTACTGAACATCCAAAAACTTATCAATATTTAGTTTGCACCGAGATGCATAAATATACATTACGCAAAAGTACAACACTTTCGCTCAAATAATAAGACACTGATATGGTTTTGCAACTGCGATTGTCAGAATGTATTAGATGCATTCACAAAAAGTCCATGCGGAGGTTTAGCCATTCGCACAGCCTGGCCTTCGCAGGAGGGAGGGGGGAGGGAGGGGGGAGAGAGGGGGAGGAAAGAACCAAAAACAGCACTAATTAACTCAGTATTTGCAGCCTACGGAAAACACAAACACAGACTGGAATTAGCTTCACGCACAGATCTCTGCATCCTAACTTCATGCCAAAACGACAAAACATGCAAAGGCCGCATCCAAAACTTCCGGGGCCTTGGGTCCTGGAGGTTCCTGAAGAGACGAGGCCGTACCGCGGGGGGTAAGTCGCCGTGGGATGAGCTGGAGGTTGGTTCCGCTCGGCTCTCTGAAGGGTTTGGGGGGTATAAATACTGATTCTAATGCACGTCTGTCCATCAAAATAAACCTGATTAAGTTAACGATGCGCTCGGAGAACCTCACTTCAGGTGGACGAAGGCGTGGTTCCCGGACACCTGTGGAGAGAGACGTGTGTGAGATCACCTGGAGTGGTTAAAGCGGCAGAGACGGACAGAACAGACCGGCAACTGTTCTACATCACTGACAATGAATGTTCTGAAAGGTGCAGTTTTTCACATCTGCAGCAAAAAGCTCAGATGGATTGATGATTTTGTGAAAGATCTTCAATTGGGACAAAGCTAGAGACAAAACCGTGCACTGTTCAAATCTAAAGTTTACATAGAATTTTACAAAGACTGGTTTCTCCACAATTAGGCCAAGTGGAGCTACACTTTTGCATAATTTCAAACGTCAAACAAGGAAATAAGTGTTCATATTATCCAAGTAGATTAATTGATAGACAATACTATCAATTAATGAACTATTTAACTTTGACCAAACTTTTTGCATGCGTTCCTTTGAAAAGCCTCTGAAATGCTTCCGTTGTGTGTTTTATCTAAATCTACTGTTCATTGGGTTTGTGATAGAAACTTAAACCTGGTTCTTGAGTCTTTTTGTGAGTTTGTTCTAAAAGCACTCCCCCTCTGGCTGATGTTCACACTATCCACATGTTTCTTGATATCTGCTGCACCAGTCCTGTTGTCCGGGCAACCAAACACTTCCACAACATGATGCTGCCCCTCCCGTGCGCCACAGATAAGATGAGACATGCAACACCTTCAGACATAACCTCAATGTTAGGTCAGTTTGGACAAAAATATGTTAGTGAAAATAATGTATGGATCGAGCCGACTTGGCACTGGGTTTTATTTGGATCAAACATTCAGGAATTGTGAGAAACTATTTGACAGAACACGATCCTGGACATTTCTTCGGACGAGTTACAGGTTTACTTGAGGTCCTCCATTTGCCAAATAAAGATTTTTTTCTCCAATAGTGCATCCCAAAATGGCACAGCACTAGGGCATCTTTAAAGAAAAGTTTTTCCAGTATTGTTTAGAGCCACGTTAATTATAAAGCACTTCAATCCGTTCATCACCACTGGCACAAGTCTGAAGTCTAATCTGCTCCGTGAGAAGTCCTGCTGCTGCACTGGTACAATGTGAAGGACTGAGGTTTAAGTCACGGCTGCATAGATATAATAAAACTCAGTGACTGACAAAGTACCAGCTCAGGTGAGTCAACACGTGTTATACTAAAACTATCTGAGCCATTTTAACCACTTTAATCCCTGAGCTTCACGTCACATGGCAATAAAAGGGTTCTGACCATTGTCCCACTGCAGGTGTGACAGGAATAAAAGCTTGCGGCACAAATTTAAGATTCAGTTGAAAAAAGGATCTTGCCTAAAGAACCTGCCAAGTGCTAATTTAATTTGTGAACTTGTCAGAAAGACTGCCCTGAACATTTACAGACAAACTTCTACATTTAATATTTTATTCTAGAACAAATTTCTGTTATCTTTAGTGAGCCACTGCCAGGATGTGTTCTCGTAATCAGAAGAACTTTAGGCAATATTTCTGTCCTTTATATATAGAGAAGATGCCAGGATCTGAGAACTCATCATAAAGTCGTCTTATCGCACCATTAGTTTAAAAAAGGAGCATTTAGACAGAAGGGGCAGGGGGACCATGTACTCAAAGATCCACATATGAATGTAGCTAAAAGATTTAGTTTGATACTGCATTGGTTCCTCTTCAATTTGAATTAATCTAAGATATTTTTATTGGTCTCATAGTGGAGTCATTTCAGAAACATCGTTGCACATTACAGCAGAGAAGAGAGCGCTCAGATTGAACACCTCAATATTCTCATGATAAACTTTAGTGTCCTGATTACTTTGGGAAAAGCAGATAGAGAAAGTGGTCAGATTAAAGCTTCCTGCCCCTTTGCCCAGTGTCCCATGTTCTGTCCCACACATGAAGCCGTGCCCAGACTAAACACCAAACATGGACTGGTGCAAACAAACTGAAACACAGACTGAGGGGGGGGGGGGGGGGGAGGGGTGGAGGGAGTGGGTGGAGGAACTAAAAATGGAACTATTGGACCAAAGATTACTCACTAAATATCTAACAAAACTGCCGGGACTTCCATCCAGGCTGGGAAGTCTCAGATGGAGTGGGGTACCAGCGCATCTAAAGAGACACAAACACAGTGAAGAGTCGCACACACACCCTCATTTGGGACACAGTGGGAACAGGCCGAGGGGAATGTAGGCCAGAGCTGGGGGACAATGTGCTGCTAATGACCAGGACACAGAGCCTGTTCTTCTGGGCCCATCATGACACTACGTCAGCTGCATCAGCCACAGGGAGCTGCTCATCACTCACCAAACTCCCATTAGAGCCTCTCCTGGTGCCAGCTGTGCTCTGCCTGCACAGGTTGGCACCTTGTAGGGGTCAAAGGGCACATTCCTCTGCCCAGCGCCTTTACACATGAACTCTGCATGACCCGCTGACCAACATGCTCCACTGTTGTCCTACGACTGCACTATAGCAACAGCGACAACACTGTATCGAGATGGAAACATTCTTCAATATCATTTGGAAGAACATTTACAACCAGAGTTTCTCTGATTTAACATTAATCTGAAATAATCAAACCCTCAACTTTCCTCAAAGACGGTTTTGTTGTAAGGAAAACCTCAAAAGTCGGTCATAGCTTTAAAATATCCAACATTAGAATTCTCTGGGAGGGGGGGGTAATTGGGGCCTGTTTACATGCACTAAGTATCTGTGAGAACATGCCCTCAGTACTCGAGTACTTGACTCACCTGGGCGTGCAGGGCAGCAGCGGCTGCAGCAGCTGCAGGGTATGTGAAGGCAGCATGAGGCAGGCCTGGGGTCAGCTCCGTGGTGTACAGGGGGTACGGGGTCCAGGCATCAGGAGACGCTGGGATCAACGCTGCCCCCGTCAGGTCATCTGTGGAAGCACCGCACTCTCTTACCTCAGACACAAACCATTTCCCAAAGTCACTTCTGATTTGGAAATTGAATGCGTCTTTGTTGCATGTTTCATTTGCTGAATGCAGGTGCAGAGCTAAAGCTAGTCCTCCCTCTTCCCCTGTGTATGTCCAGATCAGAGGACACATGCATGTGAGGGTGAGTTAGTTGTTGTTTGTTAGACATGTTGTGTAGAGTATTTGAGAGCTGCAGGTGCCAGTGCGAGCCTGGGAGGTGCAGCAGTAAACTTACATGGGTCCCGTGCAATGAAGTGAGCTCCTAGAGCGGGGTGGATATTTGTGGGGTTCGGTGTGGCCATCAGCTTACTCTTTGCCATCTTCGTGTTGGCTTTAGCAAACTCTAAGCGCAGGGTCTGGGGGCTTTCGGGGTCAAAGCGGATTCCCTGGGGGAAGAGACGAGGGCAGCGGAGACACATGTAAGGGACGTGGGCTCAGAAAGACTCTGCTCACTCCGTCTGCATCCTGCACCACGCTCAATACTCAGGCTCTGCAGCTCTGCTCAAGGGGCAGCTGGAAGTGGGACCAGACTGAACCCTACTGTTCCTGTAGCAGGACGAGGGGCTAATGGAGGAACCGCTTCAGTATTTTGTCTGGGCCTGAACCGAGACGTACACAGCCATAAGAATAAGTGAATGCAGCTGACTGTGGTATTGAGCAGAGGCTTGGGTTAGGACAGCAGGCGGAGTGAGTGGTGTGGATGACCCCTGCTGTGTCTGTGCCCTAAGCGCTGTGCCCACATGCAGGTGAGTATCTGTGTCTGTGTGTGACTGCGAGTGTTAGACTGTGACAACATAAGACTCCACTACTCGACATGTGGCCAACACTACACTTGTGCCTAGAGAAGGAGTAACGAAGCAGTGATATGCAACATAAGGAAAGCTAGACCAGACTAAGAAGGGATGTGTACCAAGGTCAAAGTAAACTACCGTAATTCTACGGGACTCTGGCCTCTTTCCAAAAAAGTCCCTGCCATTGAATTAAGAGACAAAAGGAGTTTGCTTTTTAGTCTGAGTGATAGACTTGTTTGTTTTCCCAGTTATTGAAAATAAGCACAAGGTTAGAACAGACTTGATGAAACACAGCATTAGGACGTTAGAGTGGGAGCAGAGCTTACATTCAGTGCATTCTTTGCTGCTTCCGCTCCAGAGCGACAGTCAAAGGTGACAAACCCCACGGGCTGCAACACAGAGCAGGTCATGAAGCGACAGAACAGCGCCCCCTCTGGTCACGGCCATCACTACCAGAACCTGTCCATTCCCACCCCCTGGACCCACCCATGTGCTCTTTAGCATCACACGTCTCCAGGTCAACAGCTTTGGACATTTATTTTTAAAGCTGAAAGAGAAAGACCCAATTCTCCACATGCAGGTCCTGGTTTCACTGATATACAATTAATGCAAAAAGGCAGAAAAGATCAAGAAGTGTGTCTCCTGCTTTTCAAAACTTAATTTAAATGCATTTTGCACAGCCCTAAAAACTCATCTCTGAGGACTTTACAAAGCTGTTATTTCACCGACTGTTTTTGTTGTTGCTTTTAACCATTTGCTTTTTACTTTGTAAACAAATCATACAAACACAGGTCAGAGAATCAATTATAAATTAAAATTAACTGGTAAGTGAGATTTGTAAATGATTTCTTGTGAAAGGAGACTGTATTCTGGTTTTATTTAAATATCTTAAGTATAAGGTCTGGAGCAATCCTATTCTGTCCTCAAGATAAATTATTGTATAGACAAGAATCTAAAGCAGATCAGGCACCTTTCAAATGAACTTAATTTGCTAAAACCTGACAAATTTATATACCTATACAAAATGCCCCTACAAAGTAGTTCTGACGAGCAAGATCAATTTTTATACCATATTAATATCTGGAGAACATTTAATTCACAGTCAGTAACGATTGTAACAACTTTGACACATTTTCCCAAATTAACTTCAGAAACTTCTCGGTGCAGAGTGTGGAGCGGACTCACCTGTTTGGACGTGAGCTTGATGAGCGAGCCCTCGTACCCCTGTGGAGACAGCATCATGAGTCACATGGAGCCAGTGAACCGCGACACCCACCGCCGCCCCCTCCAGACCGCAACAACACCAGCTCCTCCTCCAGACCGCAACAACACCAGCTCCTCCTCCAGACGGCAACAACACCAGCTCCTACTCAGGGACGTGCGGTGAGGTTTGTGATTGGGGAGGCACTGACTTTAAAAGTCAGATTTACAATCATTCAAATAAAATAGCATTTAATCACCAATGCAATGACATCCACAAACTTTATATACTGTAAAGATAAGAGAACCAGCTTCTTTTAATAATCTCACAACAAATCTAGCTGCTGACTCTGCTCCGCATCAAACAACATCTTTAAGAAGCGCAGGTGCGAGAGACGCGAGGAGAGAGAGACGCGAGGAGAGAGGAGCAGAGAGAGACAGAGACGCGAGGAGAGAGAGACGCGAGGAGAGAGAGACGCGAGGAGAGAGGAGCAGAGAGACGGAGACGCGAGGAGCAGAGAGACGGAGACGCGAGGAGCAGAGAGAGACGGAGACGCGAGGAGAGAGAGACGCGAGGAGAGAGAGACGCGAGGAGAGAGAGACGCGAGGAACATAAACAATAATTTAAACAAGTTGCAGAACTCTTGAGCAGTGTTTGAATCAGTGTTTTTCGGAAAAGCACTACTTTGCCGGTATCTGTCAATGTTCAACATAAAACACAGATTAACAAACTCCTCCCCCGCAGCCGGACTAACCTCGTAAGTCCAGTGGTGGTCTCCCAGTCTATATTAATTCTTTCTTTGTTTGAAAGTCCAATTGAGAAAAAAAATCTTCATTCAAATCATCCATTTTCCAGCAAAAGAAATAGCATTTTGGGCTGATTGTTAGCAACTCTGGTATGAACTTTATGCTCACTATCACCCCTAGCGGTGAGGCACAGATACCGCCTGCCTCACGCCAAGCTTTTTCCTTGTGTGTTCATCTACGATCAAAAGACTTAAACTAAATATAAATTGTACACACATACGTGCAATACACTACTAAACACTAAGAGGAGTTTAAAAAATGTTTTTAAAGCAGGATATTTGAAACAAACGGTGATATATCAACTGCACGAGCTGAGTGCACTCAGACACACACACACACACTGTGAGGGAGCGGTCTGAGGTGAGGCACGCAGGAGCGCTGCCTCACCTCGTCTCTTTGAATAGGAATAACGGGATTTCGGCGATTTTGACTTCAGAAATGATCAAAACTGATGGGAACCGTGCCGAATATACATTAAAAGCATAGGACAGTGGATATAAATTATATATTTAAACTAAAATAATTATTAGTTTCCAATAATGGCAGGTGAAGCTCTGCCTCCCCTGCCTCCCCTGACTGCACGTCCCTGCTCCTACTCCTCCTCAGACGGCAACAACACCAGCTCCTCCTCCAGACCGCAACAACACCAGCTCCTCCTCCTCCTCCGACGGCAACAACACCTCCTCCTCCTCCTCCGACGGCAACAACACCTCCTCCTCCTCCGACGGCAACAACACCAGCTCCTCCTCCAGACTGCAACAACACCAGCTCCTCCTCCTCCTCCAGACCGCAACAACACCAGCTCCTCCTCCTCCTCCTCCTCAGACGGCAACACCAGCTCCTCCTCCTCCTCCTCCTACCGCAACAACACCAGCTCCTCCTCCTCCTCAGACGGCAACAACACCAGCTCCTACTCCTCCTCCAGACCGCAACAACACCAGCTCCTACTCCTCCAGACCGCAACAACACCAGCTCCTACTCCTCCTCCAGACTGCAACAACACCAGCTCCTACTCCTCCAGACTGCAACAACACCAGCTCCTACTCCTCCAGACTGCAACAACACCAGCTCCTCCTCCAGACTGCAACAACACCAGCTCCTGTCAGTGTTGCCTCGCCAGTTACACAACAGCAGGAATGAGGAGCAGAAAAACCAAATGACTCTATACTAAGGACGTATAAACTACAGTACTCTCCAGGTCACAGCAGCACAGGTGTAGCCTGAAGTGTCGGGTTTCATTACTTTTAGATTTATCAGTCAATTTTGCTGCTGGACACCTGGACTTCTCCGACAGGGATCAAAAAAGTATCCAAGTCTAAAATACAGTATGTAAGTTATGTAATGTTTTTTTATATAGCGCATTTGACAGACCAAGGTCACTCAAAGCACTTTACAATGTTAGATATTGTTGCACTAACTCCACACGGTGATGACAGAAGAGAGTTGCTGAACACACTGGACCATCAAAGCCTCCGACCAAACACTATCCACTCATTACATTCAGACAGATTGGTTTGGAACATGCAAACTCCTCAGAAAGGCCCTGTTCCAACTGGTAATCGCACCCAGGACCTTGTTGCTAAGCGAATGGGCTAACCACTCAGCCACAGTTGTATACAGTACATCTGCACATGTAAGCAGCCTGAGGGACAGACACACAGTATTGCATATTTTAGGTATTATTACAAGTAAAGTGATCGACTCAGAACTACAAAGAAGCAGTGAATCGAGCTGGAGAATGGTTTCCTAATATAGCCAGGGCCATGGCGAACTGAAAACACGAGCAGGGCGCCGCGGAATTCCTTACAAGGGGAGTCTGGAGCGAGTGCCTCTGATGGAAGACTGCTTCTGCTCCTAATCCCGATTTACAGACATGGAACGTTAAACAACCTCCATCCACCCAGAAGAGCCTTATTTAGAGAAACAGACACTGGGCCATCACAAAAGTCTACACACAGATCAGAGAATCAGACTTCAAACACAAGAAAGGCAATGGTAGAAAACAGACATTAAGGTCAATTTCAGAATATTAAGAATAACTTCAATAAATATTTAAATAAAATAAATCTATTTGATATTTTGTAGTGGTTCAACAGGTGCCAGTCAGAAAATATCTCTTGAGGAAAACCTAATTCTCTTTTAATCCTAAAACAATGTGAGAAATTATGTATTCACAATTTCAGGACGTCAATTCTAAATACTAGACTTAAGTAACTGGTACTCCAACAGTGTGATTATGGAACAACAAGAGGGGCGTTGTTAATTGTTAAGGATTCCAAATGTTGACATTATATAATCAGAAGCACAGCTTTCCCCAGAGTCAGAATCCTCCAAAAGGAATCGTTCAGGTTTTGTGATAGTTTATACATTTGTAGAAAGTTATTTTAAAAAAGTAGCTCTCATTAACTCGTTTCTTCCATCAGTGAAACGCAAACACAAGTAACTATAGCAACCAACTGTTAGCCTGCTACTGGTTAGCATAGCAACACACTTTTTTCATATGTATTTCGAGTTATATTCACCAGTTTTAGCACCTAGTTATTTCAAGAACTCCAATGATTTGATTGGGAGCAGCCAAATGAGTAGTTTGAGATTTAACGAAAAAAACTACAATTCTAGGAGCTTCCAATAATTGACACAGAAACACTAGTCTGTACGACCACATTAGTAGTAAGTAATCTTTATATACCGCCTTTTCACTGCAGACCAGAGTCTCAAAGCGGTTTACAATTGTTATTTTTGGGCATTAGTCTCTCACTCCACACAGAGATGGGAGGGGCCGGTACAGGAGGCACATGCCAGAACTATTGTACAGGTTTTTATTGGTAGGGGAAACCGGAGCACCCGGAGGAAACCTACGCAGACACAGGGAGAACATGCAAACTCCACTCAGAAAGGCCCTGGTCCAACAGAGATTTGAACCCAGGAAGTGTCTCCATGAACCAAAGTACATCTGACATGTTGGGGCCATATGAAGCGGCCCGGACTCTGAGGAGCACAGGGACTGGCCTCCTGCTGGTCCCAGAGTCAGGACTAAACATGGGGAGGTTGCATTTCAGATTCATGCAGCTACAATCTGAAAAATCTCCCTGAAAACGTGAGACAGGCTTCTACTCTGACAATGTTCAAATCCAGGTTAAAAACACTTTTGTTTCCGTGCTACGACTGATTATGTTTTTAATGCCTTGTATCATTTGCTTTTTCTAGTGCTGAAGAGTTGCTGTGCGTATGAACCTTCCCATAAACCCCAGTCCTGTCCGTGGACTTGCCCTCAGACCTGCGCCGTGTGGACCAGCTGATCTGGAGCTACTCATTTACACATTCCTGCAGCTCATCCATGTGTGGCGCTCCGCTCTCCTCGATGGTTCTGCAGGAGGCCGTTTCTGAAGCGTCCGGGACAATACTCTGGCCTCATTTTCATATATGCTAATGGGCCATTGTGCGGGCAGTGGGAACGGGCCATCCCTCCATCCCATGTACTCTAGTGTGGACCGAAATCACTACAGTAGTCATCTCTAAGGACTTTCACAACTGTTGAGTTCGCCAAAACAGAATCAAACTGAACAATCAAATGCAACAATAAGAGATGGATGATTTGATTGTAAAACACAACTTTAAATCATTCCATTTTCTTGCTTTTTTCTGCAGTACAGTGGGCATGGTTTTACTCTGGTCCAGACCAGAGAGGATTCATGGTTTTACACCGGTCCAGACCAGAGCAGAGAGGATTCATGGTCCAAACCAAGTGGATCAGGTCAAAATCCACTGGAGGAATGCTGACTTTTTGAAAAATGCTAATGAAGACTGTTGATTTCATCTTATCTTTTTAGAAAGATCCAATTTATTTTTCTGATACTGGACACCTGAATCTCTCCTACAGGGATCAATAAAGTATTTATCTAAAATAAGGTATTGGTCCATAAATGTCCTGGATCACCACCACTGTCCTTAGACCCTCCTACATCTGCAACAAACTACTAAAAACCCAGTGGGAGAAAGTGAGAGATCTGCTCTGACGGACGGACTGTAGACCCAGGACTCAGACTGTAGGAGGAGGACCGAGGCTGTAGACCCAGGACCCAAACTGTAGGAGGAGGACCGAGGCCACGCGGTGCAGGACCAAAGCTGCATGAGCATAACTGAGGCAGGACCATGGTCAGTAGTTTAGGACCGGATTTAAGGCCAGGAAGTTTGGATTTTTAACATTTGAGGCAATTTTGGTTCAAAAGTTTGTCGAGTAACAATGCACAAGGCAGCTGCTGATTGGACCGTCCAACTATATATGTAATAATTTATTTTATTCAGCTAATATGTACATCAGATCGCAGGTCACATGTTTTTAAAGGTTGTATATTATTTTGCAAAAAGGAATTTTTTTTTTAGTGCAAAGTAATTCCTTAGACTTCTTCTGCAGAACCCATTTATGAAGTGACAACACGTCCAAACATTTACTTTCTGTAAAATCTGTCATCTCGACCAGACAATAAAACATGTCTTCAGTCTGAGACGCGAGCCAGCGGAGATTTGCCGTTTCATTCAACCCCTTTTCAAACCAATAATGATGAAAAAATGTCAATGATTATAACAAAAATACCAATAAATCGTATTTTAGTGGAACATCTGGTAAAAACATGGTGTTGAACATGACGCAGTAATAACTAAGTTTAAAAATCCTCGAACACAAACTGATGCTAGAGTCGAGTGCTTCAGGAGAGTTTGGTCCAGTTTGATCCGGCTTTAGTGTCGGTCTGATGGACTCTTATACAGCATGTTTTTACTAGTTTTATTTAACTATGCAACGACTCAAAACCAGTGCTTAAGTTAATGGTTTTTTTCAACATTTTCCACCAAAACACCTGAAAAAATACATATTTTCTCACTGAAACTGTATCGAAAGGCTCTGACAACAATCTAAACCATGTGACTGAAGCCATGGTCCTGCAGGTTTTGGCCTCTTTGACTCCAATTATAAGTGGGAACAGTGCGTTTGCTCTGATGGACGTTTACTGTAAAGATTTCACTGATGAAGCAGAAGCTCCGGCACAACAAACAAAGTTCAAACTACTTTAGTGAACAAAGTTATAACTGTTTAGAGTCATCTGGTTTGATGAGGAACAGGGTGAAAACAATCGACAATATCTGACTTTTCATATTTTAGAACAAATGTGCTTTAGAGAACTTTGTTTATCACAGACTAAAGTCACACAAAGCCATTGATCAAACTTCAGGACGGTTTAGTCTCAAGTTATTCTCAAACATTTACAGCCATTTGTTGATTGAGTCTTTCTCCGCTGTGGGACAAAAATGTTTGAATATTTATGTGATTTTCATTTTAGCTTTTTATTGTGTGTTTTTATTGTGATTTCTATATTTATACATACACACTGTTTTCCATATTAGAATTTTAATTATTTTAAGGTTTTACTGTGGATTTGTTTTAGTTAGTATTTCATTGTGCAGCACTTTGGACACGGTTTATGAAATTTGCAGAATAAAGTGGATTATAATTTAGGCAAGACTCGACTCTGCGTCAGTCTGAGAATTTATCACAGGATTAATGAGACGTCTGTCAGAAATTATCAGTGTCCGTTTTTTGACGAGGAACAATATTGTAACCTCAAAATCTATTGTCTAAAAAATGTGTTTCCCCAACTTGAATTTGTGCCAATTTTGTGGAACGAATAGAAGCCGCAGTTTTCGGGGTAACACTGATATCATTTGGTCCGGCATCTCTTCATCAGAACCCATTTTTATTGCCGTTGTATGAAACAGGAAGTGACCCCCTCTGGGTTTGGCTCAGGCTGCAGACCTGTTACAGTATTATGGTCCTGGTCCTGGACTCTCTCAGACCCTGAAGCCGGCCCCACACTCACCTTGAACGGTCTGAAGAGAAGGTACAGCTCTCTCGGCTTAATGTCCACAGGAAGTCCACTGACGAAGAGCGTCCGGACCTGCGGAGGAGGAAACGCGTCGGAATTTAAGTGTTAGATCAGGACAAAGGCAGGAGTTAAAAACAAGCCTGGCTGAGAGCGTAGAGACCTCCACAAGACTCTAGACCAGCACTGGGTCTACCCACAAAGGGACTGGAGCTAGTGTCATACAGGACAATTGTTTTGGTATAACATTTGGAAATTAGACCATTCTAGGGTCATTTGTACATTGCCACAGGCCGAAGAGGGAAGGCTGCTTCTAAATACTTGCGTCTTAAATTATTCTCATTAAACAGATATTTATATACCGCCTTTCACAGACCAGAGTCTCAAAGCGGTTTACAAATGTTATTTTTGGGCATTTCTCTCACTCCACACAGCGATGAGAGTTGGGTCAGAACAGGAGACATGCCAGACCTATTGTACAGGTTTTTAGTGGTAGGGGAAACCGGAGCACCTGGAGGAAACCTACGCAGACTCGGGGAGAACATCTAAACTTCACTCAGAAAGGCCCTGTTCTGACCGGGATCCATCCTCCACCTTTCCCACTGTTCTGTCTGGATCTATGTGATTCTATCCCTCTTCCACACGAGTCTTGGGCCTCGACTGTTTTAAAGGTGAGGAACTATAGGGTTTTAATACATTTACTATGGTTTGAAAAGTAAGGTACAGATTTAAGTCCCTTTTCTTTGCATTCTACTTGAAATTTGGTGTAAAAAAATATAAAGATTATAGGAATTAATGAAAAGCGGTTTTCCTCGTCCTATTTTTATTCATCCGGAAATGAGACAGCGTCATTAAAGCACAACTAAAGTACAGCACAAACGAGATCAAATATGAGGCAATATTATTTTGAATAGTGTTTTTTTTAGTTCGTTCAGTTTTAAAACCAGACTAAATGGCTTTGTCCCGTTGGAAAATCTGATTAACTACTGCTTTTTCACATTCCAAGAGAAGAATTTCTTGTATTTTTTTTTAAAAACATTGGTGAATCTAGTTTTAAGGCTCAGTCAGAATGTATTTAAATTTACGCTTTTGCCAAATTTTAGCAATTATTTTAGTCATTTTTCTGAGTGTATAAAGTTGTACCATTCTTAACATTCACTCGTGTCGTGTGCTGCCCAGTCCTGCTGGTCTAACTGCTGATGCAACACTGACATTTCCCCACTGAGGGACAAAGAAAGGAGCTTAATCCCAGTAGATTTGAGCCTGTCCTCCCCAGAGTCGAACCCATGTCCTGCTGTCGGGGGGAGTGACCCCTCAGTGGTAAACGTTGTAGCAGCTAATTGAGTGTTTTCTGTCCTTTGAGACAGCGCACGTCTCCAGCCCGTCCTGCTCCGGAGAAGGATGGGAAATGAGCACAGCGCCTTTGTCCCGGGACAATGGAGCAAAGTGGCCCCCGACTCTCCCCCTCGGTCTCCTCGCGGTCTCTCCCTGTGAGGAGCCACTTACAGCTGAATGTCAAGTCAAACACTCCATTATTCCTTTAAACACGGGAAATGAAGTCATGAGATTAAAAAGGCACAGGTTTGATTCCAGTGAAAACAATCAGACTGAAGGTGTTTGAGCAGAAGCCGATCAAAGGTCACAGCGAAATTATACAGTCCTGATATTTCATTATAGACATTTATCATTCTCAAATTTATTAAAACATTTTTTCTAAGTGTGTTAATGTCGCGGCAACGGATGAAGCGGAAGAAAGTGGATGAGTGTTTGCAGCAGAGGCCGTGAGCAGAGACTGGAGGTGCTTCTGGAACACGGCGACAGTTTCAGATGTTCCAAAAGCAGCGGCTTCATTCGCTTCAATGTCTCAGGTATTTTTCTAAAAATGCCCTCCACATGTTTTGTTTTATCTTCTGTCATTAAAAGGGACAAGTTTTTCAAACGGCCTCGTGCTGTATTCTTCAGACTGTGAGGGATTGTCTTTTCCATGTTAGGATCTGTTCCTTCTCAAATGAACCAAATATATTCTGATCTGTTGTTGGTTAATCAGTTTTATAAAGTCCTTTGGGAAAACTACTGTCGTGATTTAGGGCTGTACAAAAATCAAATGGTCTTATGGTAAAATGTCAGAATATTTTAATATCCAAGTTTCAGTAACTGTAGAATTGTATTTATCTGACGAGGGAATTTCACTCTTGTCCTTTGTAAATGTACAGTATGTATCAAAGTATAATTTATATTTTAAGCAGAATAACAAAGACTATTAAATATGGAGGTAATAAATGCTTGAATCAAATGGTTTTAATCTTAATCCGACACATTCTGACTTTAAACATTCTCCAGTGAGACAAAGACATTTCTGTATCTTTATAAAACCAGATCATTTTACTTCTGTCCCAGTGAAGAATCTGGTTTTAAGGCTCAGTCACAATGTGCTAAAATAAAAGATACATTTTACTAAATGAGCATTTTTAAGCTTGTAAAACAACCAAATTTTTAACATCCTCAAATAGTTCAGAATGTCCTCTCTCATGGATCCATCTCTGATCCGAGCAGGAGAGAGCTGCCATTTTGTGGTAAATGTGATGACGTAATGTGTTTGTTAGTTCTGAGCAGAGGCCCCCGCCACACAGAGGCCTCATTACAGCTCCTGCACATTTAAGGATCTTACTCTTATTGTGAACCACACACACCTGTTTTTTAAAATGATGCTGATTATTCTATAGCTGTAGTTTTTATTCTCATTTTTATCCAGTGCTGTCTAGGTAAAACCTTATTAGAAGAGCATTAAAGCAATATGTTTCTCAAAATAAAAAAAATGTATGATTAGAAAAAAAGAAAATCTAGGGGAAAAACAGGAATTTACCGGTCCATATCTGTCCAATGACCTCAGCCACTTCTAAACTGTAGATCTATGCTTTCCATCAGAGCAAATAAAAACTGCAGATTTATTTGAATCCAATTTCCTTGAATCTATATTTTATCTATATTAATCTTTACAATCAGCCTCAATCATCTCCACATCCCTTTAACACATTTTGTTTAAAATGTGTCTGACATGGTCCAAAACTCTGACTAATGCTAAAATCCTCTAAATATTACAGAACAATCAGCATTAAATTCAAAATCATTTCGTTCAGGCTCATTGTCAATTAGAAAAAGGCATTAACGTGCTCTTTATATGGGCCCAAAATCCAGAGAAAATCTGATCAAATCCAAAATTAGAAATAGGCCCGTTTCTTCAGTCCCTGTGGCCAATTTGAAAAAAAAAAAGATTTTATGAAGAAATGTTTTTTTTACAGAAAACCGAATACTCCCGGTTTATTCCGTTACTCTAGCACAAAACAAACCTTTAATTGTCCTCAGTGGAAATTTCAATGTAGTGGCTCACAATACAACAGACTAAAATCAAACAGGATTTATGTAAAATTAGGTTAATATAATGGATTTAAAAAAAAAATGAAATGAAGCTATAATTGCACTTCGGGGATGAGTCGCTGGTGGATACAATGGCAATCAACTCAATTATAGGCCAATAATAATGGGTTTAAATTCCTCAAAGCATGCATTCAAACAGTGAAAAAGGGCGAGGGAGAAGTATGAAAAGACAAGTGCCCAAACCACCTGCGCCTTACATCGACACACATTCCAATGCGTAACGCCACTTTCTCCTTTCCACTTTACGCACGGCCATTGCCCATCCACCGTCCACCCTGGCCCCAGTATACGCACGGGTCCCTCCACTCCCCAGACCTCTCCCCACTCACCTCCTCCTCCATGGACACGCTGTTGGTGGGTTCTGGCTCCTTCAGGCTCATGTCGGAGGCTGCGCTCAGGAGAAGACTTCTGGTGTCGGAGTGAGACGTGGTCCAAGTGCGCGTTACGTGGCTGCTGTACGACTCCTGGTGAGGCTTGAACTTCACGAGGGACGCCGTGGAGAGGTGGTGAGGGCGGGTGGACGGGCTCTTCTTGGAGGTTAAGGTTTCGGCAGTGGTCGCGGTGGCAGAGGTGGAAGAAGTAGAAGAGTTGGAGCTGGAAGTGCGGGAGAGAATCATTCAAAAAAAGTAGCGCCCATGGAACGGAGGGAAACGGTTAGAACTTAAAGTGAGCCCTGGTGCATGTGTGTGAGAGAGAGAGAGAGAGATAGTGTGTGTGCGTGTGTGTGATCCGTGAGAGAGGTGCAGAAGTGCCAGAGGTGCGGAGCAGAGCGAGCCCAGTGAGCTCACATGGAACTTTACAGCGAGTGCGCTCAGCTGCGAGGGAGAAGGAAGGATACGCTGATTGGAGCTCCCGCCTCTGCCCTGGCCCCAGTGCGTGCGTGCGTGTATGCGCGTGCGTGCGTGTGTGTGTGTGTGTGTGTGTCTCTCTCTCTCTGTGTATGTGTGTGTGTGTGTCCGTGTCCAATTAGCTCATCAATTACGAACAGCAGCGAGAGCCCAATCAGCGGCATTGGCGTCAGCTGCAGAGCGCGTCCGTGAGGCGGGGGCTGGCAGCGGGAGCGCTCATGTCAGGCCGCAGCTCGCACGAGGCCCGACTGCCGCGGTGTACGGCAGTCTTAACGGGAGTAACGGAACTCTGTATTTCCTCCAGAGACTGTTTAGAATCAATGTTCTGAACCTACTGTTTCAAAGTGTCTTTTTCTTTCTTTTTTCTTTTTTAGGCCTTTTCGTTTTTATATCCATCGAATCCTTCATGTGATGGGCTAGACACACGGGAGGCGACATCGCATCGCCTCCATTCATTTCAATGGGACGTGCGCGACATAGTGTCAATCGCTAGCGAGCCTCCTGCTCAGCGACGGGCGAAAAACGTGCGTGTGAAATCCTCCTGCTCGTGCATGTATCGTGCACGCGCAGGTCAGCGACGCGATCCCAGAAAGTTGAAATCGGCTCAACTTTTCGACGCTGTCGTCAAGCCGCATCGCGCCCCGTCTGTCATGTTATCTGAGCGACAGCGTTGAGTTTCGCTGATCGCTCTCATTTGTCGCCTCCCGTGTGTCTAGCCCTTAAGTCACGAGCACAGCCGCGCACAGCCGCGTACATGTGTGTTTACCCATCACTTTACCACGTGACAACAGCTGTTCACAGAAAATAAACTCTTTCCTAAAGCGTATGAAGCAAATATTGAATCAGTTTCTGCTTTGGAATAATACATGGTGAAGACGAACTGTCTTCATTTAGTCTTGGTTTTGTCCGTTGTGTTTATTAGTCTCTGGAACTCTAAAGAAGGATAAGGAAGTTTTTATGGAATTGGATGCAGTCATACTCAGTCCTGAGCCGAACCTGTTCGTTTCCATGGAAACAGCTGCTTTAGCTTAATAAAGCTTTACTAAACTAAATAATCAAGTTATTTTACAATAAATTAATATTGTAACACGCACACACACACTCACACACGCACACACACACGCACACACACACACACACACACACACACGCATACACATACACTCACGCTCACACACGCACACACACGCACACATACACTCACGCACACACACGCACTCACGCACACACACACAAAATAAACTACTCAACCCATTTGTACAAATGTTTCATATATGATAATAATAATATTTTATTATTGGAACAGGTAATAAATATTACATGAAACCAACATGATCAAATAAAGGTTGTTTTGGGCCAAAAAGTATTAATATACCAGGTCCTCCAGTGTGGAGTTTGCATGTTCTCCCTGTGCTTGTGTAGGTTTCCTCTGGGTGCGCCAGAGGAACAGGCATTCTGTTGGAACTCTGAGGAGCGCAGGGACTGGCCTCCTGCTGGGACTCTGAGGAGCACAGGGACTGGCCTCCTGCTGGGACTCTGAGGAGCACAGGGACTGGCCTCCTGCTGGGACTCTGAGGAGCACAGGGACTGGCCTCCTGCTGGGACTCAGGACTAACATGGTTTCAAATGTATGCAGCAAAAATTTAGAACATTAATTCATTCATTTTTATCCTTTTATGAATCCATTTCTGGGTCGGGGGGTGACCATCAGAGCTGCCTCCCAAAGCTCAAAGCACCAGTCCCTCTGATCCTCCTGCAGGTGGGGGGCCACATAGATGGCTGCTGCTCCGTCAGCGATGACACGCCTTGGTGTTTCAGCGGGGGCTTCAGGCAAAGTGGGGTTAAGTGTCTTGCCCAAAATTTAGAACAGTCTTCCTGAAAATGTGAGACAGGCTTCTGCTCTGACAATGTTCAAATCCAGTTAAAAACAGTTCTGTTTAGCAACAAAAGGATTTAATCTTTACTCTTTTAAACATACTGTGATTATTTAGCACTTTGAGTTGCCTTGAGTATGAACTGTGCTATATA